TTCGACAGATGAAGGCGCTACGCCTGTGTGCATGTCTTCGCACGCCAGGTCTCTGCCGAAAGTTCTTTTGGGCTAAATCTCGATTTTTCAGCCATAAACGCCTCGGTCGAGAGGGTTGCAGGGTTTTCAAGCTGAGATGTATAAAATCGTCCCTGCATTGCGGGTATGGAAACATGCAGCGAAGGCGCCGGGCGTGGAGCTTCGAGTCGAGATTGAGCTACTGGGCCCTTGTAAGAAGGTGAGTATCCTCTGCAGTACAGCCCAACACTCTGGCCCAAACCCATAACGGCCCCCAGTCTAAGTCCTGACTTAAGCTCAACAGGGTCCGGAGGCTTAAGTCCGAAATCCAAAGCCCTAAACTTACCTCTGGTTAGTAGGGAATGGAGGAATGGGGTACAATTAGAATTACTATTACCACCATTCTTCCATTCCCTACTAACCAAAGGTCAGTAAACTGAGCACTAGTAGTACAGCCTAGTTTTGCTACCTTCTCTACAGGGCTAGAATGTGGCCAGTGCGTCTCTGTAACTCTTGGAAAGTAGACCACCTAAACTCCATCAATCCCACACCAGAGGAAGCTTCATAGAAACGTGGAGAGAGACCAGTCGACAACACCCTCCTGGACCCTTAAAGGAGCCCGTAAAGGAACCCCCCCATAGATCCCTTAAAGGAACCCCCATAGATCCCTGAAAGGAACCCCTTTCTGCTCCCTTTAAAGGAACCAAAACCCTAAACCCCAACCCTAAACCCCGAAAGCCCTGAACCCCTAGGCTCCTACAAAGGGAAGCTTGAACCCCTGAGCTCCCGGGCACGTGGCCTCCAGGAGCAGATCCTGGAAGCTGCTCCTCTTCTGCGCCGTGAAGGGTGTTTTGGGTGGTTTAGGGTTTAGGGGTTTGAGGTTTAGGGTTTAGGGCTTTAGGGGGCTTAGGGGTTTAGAGTTTAGGGGTTTAGGGGTTGAGGGTTTAGGGGTTTACTTGAAGTTTTTCGAGGATTTCGGGTTAGGTTCAGGGTTTGGGGCCCTAAAGCCGAAACGGATTCGAACATTCTTGAACACCTAGGATGCCCAGTAGTACCCTTATTTCCTTTCTGTAGTCCTAGGTTCCTTATAAAGTTACCCAATACCAAAGAGAGAGGCCTTTTTTTCTTAGGTTACTGGGTATCCTAGACACGCCTCATCACAGTTCCGAGGCTGACTCGCCTGGTGAGACAACTGGGCTTTGGAGTACCATACTTTAAGACTTTTTCGGCACCTGTTACTTCAAGGGAGCCATTATGAAATACAAGTCTGTACTTTTTTCTGGCTACTTCAAAGCCCAGACAACGCTGTGTGTAGATGTGACATTCGTGGCGTACACATCCTACAACGAGCAGAAACCCCTAAACCCGAAACCCTAAACCCTAAACCCCTAAACCCTAAACCCTAAACCCTGCAGGACAAACATACCTTCGAAACCCTGGCAACCCGAGACCGAGAGCCCTAAAGCCATAAAGCCCTAAAGGATTAAAGCCCTAAAGCCCCAAAGCCTTGAAGCCCTAAGACCCGAACCCCTAAAGCCTCAAAACCCCAGAGCATTGAAGCCCGAAGACCCTAAACCCTAAAAGCCCTTAAGCCCTAAAGCCCCAAGCTTTCCTAAACCCTAAACTTTCCTAAACACTAAACTTTCCCAAACCCCAAGCTTTCCTAAACCCTAAGCTGTCCTAAGCTTAGGAGCGCTCCGTGGAGCATTTGGACCGTGGCAAAAAGCGGGGCCCGAACGCCCTATGGCCCCGGCGCTCCAGTGACCGGCCGGAGCTTTCAGAGCCAGGCGCCGCGGTTTTTTGGGGGTTGAGGGGTTCGGGGTTTGGGGTTTAGGGTTTAGGGTGTAGGGTGTTTAGGGTTTTGAGGGTTTTTGGTTACGGGGTCGAAGTCGACCCCTGCGTTTTGCATATTTTAGGAATATGCTGAAAATTGTGTGTGTGTGTGTATGTGCGCGGTATCAATCTTACTATCTATATAGTTTAACTATATCAGCTCTGTCATCAACATTAACATCTATATAATTTCTGTAATACTTGTCACATTGTGCAATCATTAGGTTGATGTTAAGCTACATAACCAACATATAACTAGATCAGTTAGGACTACATCATCTATCTCATTAATAGTTCTACCAATTTTAACAGGTGCGATGCTTCACTAATTAAGGTTATTAACAGATATGCACTTAATACAATAGCATTTGGTTCATATTTGGAGGTGATGCTATGTTCTATCAATGTTTGGTTTAGTTCTTTGGGAATCCAGAAGTCTACCCTTCCAGCATTTGATAATCAATAGTTTAACAATAGCTGGCTTATTGCATTTTTAGTGTCTCTGGTTAACTTGTCTATAACCGGATAACCTGAGCTATGAGGCTATGAGTTGTCTTTGTCTATTAGGATAAATGAGTTTGGACACATCATATGTTTACAACTAGTATGCAACAGTGATACAAGAGCTAACTTTACAGGTTAATACATTGGTTATATGATCATTACCAACTTGTTCGTTACGATCATGTAGTTGGTATTCTACATCCCTGGACAAGTAATGCATGTCTACTGATACTATTTCAGAACTAATGTTAACTGTTACAATATCTTTCATATAGTCTATTTACAATAGGTGGTTCAACCGGTATTATACTTGGTAATTAGTGCTGCTATTGATATAGATTTTCATGACTCTTATTATGTTGTTGCACTTTTTCATTATGTCTTACCATTAAGTACAATCAATGCTACCCCATTAGGACCATTATATGTATTGTCTTGTCCTGTATTAAAATGACTTACTAACACTAGATGAACAGCTATAGGTAGTGGCATTGGCATGAATGGTCTAGGTTAGCTGTGTGTAGAGGTTAATACAAATCAAGTTGTCTAAGTTTTTCATGTGTGTTCGAGTGATTTTATGTGAAGGCTTACATCATTACATCTCAGTGGTTCTAATGTTTAAGCCTAGTAGACAAGACTAAAGAGATTACTTAATATAGTGGTTGGAATGATACTAGTTCAGTTGGTGAGAGGTTGCACGTTAGTTTCATTTTGTATCACTACAGTCCTTTCCAACCAAGATAGTTTAATAAGTATTGAGGAGGCCGCCGGAAGCTTGTCGTGAATCGCGACTGCTGTGCAGATATGAGTCACCGGAAAATAGAACTAGGTTATACTAGGCTTGAGTACGGAACACTGCGAATCACAAACTGTATACGGCATGAGTGAGACTAGTAGAGTACAAGACTAAAGAGATTACTTAATATAGTGGTTGGAATGATACTAGTTCAGTTGGTGAGAGGTTGCACGTTAGGTTCATTTTGTATCACTACAGTCCTTTCCAACCAAGATAGTTTAATAAGTATTGAGGAGGCCACCGGAAGCTTGTCGTGAATCGCGACTGCTGTGCAGATATGAGTCACCGGAAAACAGAACTAGGTTATACTAGGCTTGAGTACGGAACACCGCGAATCACAAACTGTATACGGTATGAGTGAGACCAGTGATGCATGAGCGATATATGTGATGCAGCACACGGCTGACACGCATCGGCTTCTTTTGGAACGCGCAGCGATTCATTGAACTGTCTGTCACGTAGCCAATGTGTCTCAAAGCGTCGAAAGCAAAAAAACAAAACCAAAAAAACCAAAACCAAAAAAAACAAAAAACACAAAAAAACAATTCTTTCAGAACTCTCCCATTCGTGTATATTTCTAATGTTATTCTGGAAGAGCGCTGAAATAATGTTTTTTTTTGATTTTTTTGTTTTTTTTGGTTTTGTTTTTTTTGGTTTTGGTTTTTTTTGTTTTTTTGGTTTTGGTTTTTTGGATTGGATTTTATAGATGTGTTAAAGGAAAGGGGCTGGTGTTTCTCAGGGTTCGAATTACGACAACGCCCCTAAGTGCCAGAGTTCATCGTGATGTCGTGGAGGCGGCGGACCTGAAATATGCAAAACGCAGGGGTCGAGTTCGGCCCCCGAACCGGGTTTTTGAGGGTTTTTTAGGGTTTTTAGGGTTTAGGGTTTAGGGGCGGCTTTTAGGGTTTAGGGGGTGGACGGCCTGGCTGGGGGACTGGAGTAGGGAGACTACTAGTGGGGAATATATAGGGACTACTATAGGGTCTTCCAGGCCGCTGTTGTTTGGAGGGCTCAGATGGCTTTGCGGTTTACAAGGTTGCTTTCGGAGGTTTTGCCATGGGGGACCTGCTCTGTGCATGTCTACTGTGAGACGGGTGGCGCCAGGCCCTAGGCCTCTCACAACTTTCCTTAACCCCAAACTCGTGGCTTTAATACTTAGACTAGGGTTTTCGGGCATATTATATTGTAAGTACATGAAGGAACACCCCAAAATTCTATAGGTAGTTATCAAGGCCCCGATAGTATATTATAATCATGAAAGGAACCTCCGAAAAATCCTGAGTCCCCAAACCCGAAGCACCCACAGCCTCCTGCCCGAAGGCGCCGCGCGTTTGAGGCTCACAGAGCTTCTGGGCTACCTCCGGCGGAGCCACTGTGGCTCGGTCCAAAAGGACTTATTCGGTATGGACTTCTTTTTTTCGGGGGGTAATTTTTCATATTGTTTAAGAAAGGGCCCTGACTGCCAAAAGTTGGGGGCTGTTGAAATCGACATCTTGCTTAGTACCAGTTTGCTCGTTGATTTTGGGGATTCTATGAGGGCTTCTGTAAGGGCTGCGTAAGGGTTCTATTAGCCCGGTACTCCCCTTTCCATTTTCTGTTGTTTGCTTCCTAATGAAGGCTGAATACTAATCAAAAGGGTATCCTTCCGAGTATTCAGCTCCAAAACCCTACACCCTAAACTCCTAAGTGCAGTACTAGAGCATAGTATTGGAAAGGGTATGGGTTTTAGGCTTAAGGGTTTGAGCTGTTGCAGGATCTGTTTCGCATCTGGCCAGGTTACTGCCTCTACTGCGGCTGCGTCTTCGAATCCGCCAGCGATCTGGCCCGCAACTGTCCGGGTGTGACGGAGATGGAGCACGAAAGGCCGACTCATGCTGAATGAGGCATATCAACCCTAATTGAAGAGATCCTAAACCGTACGTGCCTGCGGTATTCGTCGTGAGTTTCGTTACTTACCCGCTTGACGATGACAGCTTCCGCGACAGCGTTGTTTCGTGTACATCGTTCCTTACACAGGCTAGCAGCATTAACGAGCTTTATGTGATTGTAGGGGCCGAAACAAGCACTAACATATTTCCTCAGGGTTCCTTTTTGTGATTATACTTTTTTAATCATTACGGGCCCTGTGCCTGTGCTACCAGCCAGGCCGAGTGCGCCCCAAGCGACGGAAAGCAATGGCGGCAACGAGGTGCAGACTGCTTTTCAATTTCCTCAAGCATTGCCAGTGTTGCTTTGCCTTTCTGCATCCATGACTATGATATCTCAGCACATGACATGGAATGGCATTACAGGGTATAGTGGGATATGACATGATCTCACGTCATGTCATGTCAGGTCATGTAATGTCATATCATCGGTGTGTTGCGGTTGGTGGGGAGTGGGGTTGAGAGGTGGGTACGATTGCTACACAGCCGTGGTAAAGAGCATACATGGGATGTCTTTGGCCGTGTTGACAATCGGGCCTTAGCGCATGTGCAAGCCCTGGTTGAGCTTTGGGGGAGGCGGCAGCTGCGGCTGGTGCTTGGATTGTTGCTGTTGCAATCAGTTTCTCTGTGCTACCAAACTAAAGGTCCAGATATGCCGGGATCATATGGGAGTTTCCGAAACTTAGGGTACCTCATTTGGGGTATTTATGATAAGGATCCTACTGTTTAGCGTAATTAGTACATTATGGTACCCTTTTTTCTCCGGAAACTCCCATATGGTGCTGATGAGGATCGTAGCTGGGATCAGAAGGGAGATGAGCCGTCGAATGCAGTCATGAGCGTCATCGTCAGTGTGGTGTTCAACTCGTCGTAGCACAGTGCTGAAAGTCGTAATGGTAGTCTCACTAGTCGCAGCAGATACAGTAGTCGCAATGATCAGCAGGCTGCTGTTCTTGACTTAGGGGTACTTAGAAATAATGTTTAATTTTTGGTTATTATAATCCCTAAGAAACAGCTAAAATTCTAATTTTTGCTAGGGTTCTAAGTTCAGCATAGTTGAGTTTCACGCACCCTTGCCTCGATCTTGGCTTCAGGTGGCAGAGAGCACCGGCACGATCATGCAGCATCTCGGCTCCATCTGCTTTCGGATGTGGGGCCAGTGCAACAGGTTTCTTGGGTGACTGTTCAAGGTGTAGTTCAAGGTCCATAGTTCAAGGAGGCTGCATGGTTTCCACTTGCACACCACTGCTGCTCTCTACTTCTCGCACCAGGTTGTGATGATGCTGACGGCTTACGGCACAGCTGGTCATTGTAGTGGATGTTTGTGACACAGGATGACGATCGTGATGAATTCTTTTCCGGGACCTTTGCCTGTAAAGCGAGAGCATCACTCCCAAAAGCTAGAAGCTGCCGGTTCATGCCTTCTCCGATACCTATGTCACTCTCGGTTTGTGGTTATACCTATACCCCAAAACCTACAACCCTAAGCCGCAAATCCTTTTGAAACGTCAGGATAAAGGCGGCCTACTGCGATAGTTCATCCATCAAAGTGCTGCAGACAGGAGACCCCAAAACACAGAAAGGGGAGGGTTCAGGGTTTAGTTTAGAGGTTAGAGTTTAGGGTCACGGGATCGGATCTGATCCTGCAGCTCTTATCCGACTCCGGCCCAACCAGAATCCTTTGGGTACTGCCCCCACACGGTAACAGTTGGATAATATTCATAGTATAGATATATTAGGACCTTAATAGTAGCCCTATTAAAGACTGCTACTGTATGGGGGCAGTACGTACGCAAAGTGTCCTTACCACACTCGGCATCGTCGGCAAAGGCGAGTGACGTGCGCGCGGCGTTTTGCAACATCCTACAGCTGTCCTCGTTCATGACCCACGTGAAACCCGTATGAACTTAACACGTCATGTCCTCATGCACGTGAAGCTCTCTGTCCTTGATACATCAATGTATCTAAGGCGTGAACCAGATCCACTCGATGCATTCATGTCTGGGATGGAAGCCCAGTTGAGTCAGGCCAGCCTCAGAAAGGGTAGGGCCGTGGAAATGCTTCAATGCAAGGGCCTAAATCATTACCTATGCTATTTTGGGGGTTCCTTACTGTAATTCAATCATCTGACTCGAAGAAGAAGTAGCAGTGTTAGCAGTCGTCGTCGTCGTAGTTGTAGTCTTGGTCGTAGTGGCAGCGTAGCAGTGGTTGTTGTAGCGGTACAGTAGGTGTAGTCAGCGGAGGAAGAGCGGGAGTGTTTATGAGCTCTGCCACTTCTCCACTCGCGGCGAATGCCGACATCCAGACTGTGCTCTCATGACTCCCGAATTCTCCCGCTAGCTCCATGAATCTCTGAACGAGCCAAAGCTTTCAGGATATGCAGAAGAGCATGAAAGCCACGAAATACCGGCACATGCCGCAGAAGGGTTGGTCTTTCCAACAGCAGGCTGGCCGGGTAAGGTTCAGCATCCTGGGTGGTTTTGAATGCGTGGGGTTCTTGGGTCTGCATGGTGCCTTGGGATGGAGCTAGGGAGCTAGGCAAGCCCCTGTCATGAGTTATGAGGTGGAAAGCACCCACAGCAATCTCTCCTTTCACGATGCATGCGTAAAGCGACGGGGCACAATCTTCGCATGTATCACTAGGTTCCTGAGTGGTACCCTTTTGCACTTTTAATCGCAGGGTCCCCTGATTAACACCGGACAGTAGGAATCAAAGTAATTACCCTCACTATAATGGGGCTACTCAGGAACCTGAACCCCTGCGCCTTCGAAGCCACATGCAATGCCGTCCCCTGCAGGCACAGCAGAACAAGAATGAGCTAAAACGCTTGAAGCGAGGGCGGTAGCCAAGCTTTCTTCGGCACATCTCTCGGCTGCGACCGAATTCGACATGAAGCTGGTCTGCCAGCATCCCCGGCGCTGTTTGTTTAGGGTTTAGGGTAGGGTTTAGTGTTTTAAACCCGCGTTTAGGGTTTGGGGATGCTTTGTGTAGTTTCATGCTGGTTCTTAGCCTGAGCTGGTCATTTACGCTCAGGCAGCGACCTCGGTGCCAGGAGACATCGCTGCAGACCCTCAAAGAGTTGTGACCTGTCCCTGCCCCGCAGCGAAGAACACGGCAGCGGTCGAATGTCTCCAGGATTTGCGATCCGGCTTCGGCCTCAACAGCTCGTATCTTGGATACTGACGCGATGGGGTGAAAGCGAGATTCCACCAGCCTGACTTCGGCCTGGTGGGTGGCTTCGCCATGGGGACCTGGTCTGCTTACCGGCTCTGTCCCGACCGCAGGCGTCCGAGAAAATCGTGCGTGCCAAGCGTGCCTGCTGCAAATCTCAAACGTGTCGGTAAACCTAAACCCTAAACCCCTAAACCGAACCCCCCTAACTCTACATCCTCAACCCTTAAACCGCCCGTGGCAGAAGCCCAGGGGTCTGGTAAACTTAGCAACTGAGTGGATACACTTTACACTTTTTGGGATAATGTTACCCACTATAAAACTAAAAGCGTACACTTTTTGGGGCTTATGAACTGGGCAAGTAAGTAAAGTTACTACAGTTCAGAGGAGGGCCTTTGAGGTAGATGTTCCGAAGAGCGGGGATGACAAGATGAGATGTTGCCCTCGATGTTAGGGTTTAGGGGTTTAGGGTTTAGGGGTTTAGGGTTGAGGGGTTTAGGGTTTTAGGGTTGAGGCCTGCGAATCCAAACCCTAAACCCTAAATCCCAAAGCATCAAGAGCCACCACCTCATCCCCAAAGGTTGCGCCACCACCGACTACTGCTGGGGCTACAAGTGGATGTGGCCGGCCCCTATGTTTAGGGAGTAGGGTAGAAGCCAGAAAGTTGGAACATGAGTTTAGGAGGATTAGTGCCAGGATCCCTTATCCTGTACCTTAAGGGCATGAGGATACTAATTTTCCAACTTTCTGGCTTCTAGCATAGGGTATGGAGTTTAGGGTTATTCTTTAATTCGACTCAAGGTTCAGGATTTTGGCCAAGGCCATCGTAGCATCGGGGAGATCTGCAGAGCAATGACCTTGTGAAAAGACCCCCGACTTCAAGGTAAAGCTGAAGAGAAATCGGTTTAGGGTCTAGGGTTATCATCACCAACTCCTCTTGAGGCACCATTTCATCATTATCTTGGAATCAAAACCATCGTCTTACTAGCAGGTGAAACCACCTGAAGTCGCATCAAACAGGTGGTCCTAATCCAAGACATCCAAGACCCAAACCCTAAACCCTAGACCCAAAACACCAGTCCAAGCGACTTCGTTCGAGTTGTTTGGCCGCTCCTTCGACTAGTCAAGCAGCGTTCAGCCCCGCCACAAGGGTTGAGGTTTAGGGGTTTTGGGTTTGCCTTGAGCAAGACATGAGCACCGGTGTAGAGAAAACAGAGGCACAAAGCAGTGCCAGATTCGTTCATCTTGAATCCGGCGAACCTTGGCTCGGCTTCTTATTATAGCATGATGAAATCCTTCTGAATGCCCCGCCCCCTTTTGGTTTGTCGTTATCACGAGACATCGATAAACGTACATACCCTGAAACCCTCTTCGAATTGCTTGCAAAAGGGCCCTAAACCCTTGAATTCCCCCCGGCCCAGGCCCTTAGAGGTCAGCTTGTTTCTGCGACAGGAACGGAAGATTGAACATGGGCCTCCCAATACAGACCGGGGGTTATCTGGATCTTGATGTATGCTTAGATAGCCAATGGGGGAACTTTAAACTTTTTAGCCTTATATATCTGGTCTATTTTAAAAAGTTTAATCTTTTCTGGGCCCGATTATTGAAGGAGAGAGTATGGTATGATTTGTTGTGGTATGATATGACCTTATACTAGTATGTACCGTCAGATCGAGCCCTCCAGCTCTGCCGTTCCCTGCTGTTTCTGAACCCGCAGTTCCTTCGCAAGAACTCAGAAAGCCCTCCAGCCCTGAAGCCCTAAATCCTAAACTCTCACGCCGACGGCCTCTTAATCCCCAAAACCCTTAATCCCTAAACCTTTTTAAAGCCTTAAGCCCCGAATTCCAAGGCGCCGCCGCACTTGCTCTTGCAGGTGCGAGAGAATGGTTCCGGGGCGGGGATTCTTTCGGGTTTAGGCTTCAGGTTGTTTTGTGGCAGGGTTTAGGGGTTTATTTAGGATCTCTCACTTTGAACGGTAATTAGGTGTGGGATTGCCAATTCCGCGACGATCATCCTTCACAGCAATGACCATTGCATGAGATGGTTTGGGAGATTCCTCCGCCTAGGCTGCAATGTCCAGTCGCGAACGGTTCAGAGTCCCAAGTGGTACATATCCCCAGCCTCGACTCCACCGCTCTAAGCTGTTCGGCTTGCTGTCGCTCAACCAATAAAACCCCCCCCAGGGCCGAAGCCTGAAAAAACGGTGGAGGAGGGTCAGGGTTGAGGGTTTGTAACAGTGAATTTGAATTGCCAGTGGCGCCGGGGAAAAGTTTCGACGAATCATCTTGGTAGCAATTACTTCACTCGCATTGCCTGAACCCCAGTCACCGAAGCCAGTGACTTGCCCGTTCTCGGGAACCTATGTAGCGGCTTTGAATGTCGACGTGCTTGCCCCGCAGGTGCCATTGCTGTCATCTGTCCGAGCTCAGGAAAGAGTTTGCGTTTGTAGTTGCGCTTTGTGGGGCAGAGGGCTGAAAGAAGGGCTTGAGACATGAGGAGGAGTCTTTGGGGGATTCTCTACAGTAGCATGCTTACAACTCAGAGGCTTCCAGTATACATTCCCTAGCGTGCCATGTAAACTCATTAAGTTTGGCAGCCGGAAACCTGTCCTCCAGATCTTCAATCACTCTTCGCCATCGTGTTTCTGGACGCATATCACTCCTTTCTTCTACTTCCTTTCTTCTAGGATGCCCAGTAGTCCCCTTATTCCCTTTTTGTAGTCCTAGGTTCCTTATAAAGTTACACACTACCAAAAAGGGAGCCCTTTTGTCTATGACATGACGCTCTTTGAGACTTGTGGAGCCCTTTTTATTTCTAGGTTTCTGGGCATCCTAGTCTCTGACAAAACATCGATGAAGCATCTCCTGCAGACTGTAAGTCGCCTGGCCTGGGTTTGATCTGCTCCCAAACCTTAGGGTTTAGGGTTTGACCCTGAAGCCCAAACCCTGAAATCCTTTAACCCCAAACTCCCAAATCCTAAACCCTAAAACCCTGAACTCGAAACCCTAATCCGTAAAGGCCCTAACCCTAAAGACCTAAAACCCTGAACCCTCAACCGCCCTAAACCCAAACTCCAAAGCGCAAGCCTCAACAATCTAAAGGAAGACCTGAGCTCTAAACCAGGGACACCCACCTCCAGGAGCCAGCTTCTGACATCAAATGTAGCAGCCTTGTACAATGATTAGAGCCGGGTTCCTTTGAGGATTCTTTGAAGGGTTCATAAGGGTTCTATGAGGGTTACTACAAGGGCTCTATGGGAGCTACATGACATAGGGGCCTTGATGACTAGACCAGGGAGTTGGTTTTTTTGGTGTTTGTACCGTGGGAACCCCAAGGGGCAGTATGCGCAAATAGTTAGGCTTCTATATTATGTTGCCTTTGAGGTTCGAAACCAGCACAGACTTCATCACGAAACCTGCAACCGCGCCCCCATATAACATATGATAAGCACCTCGAGACAAGGTGGTCTAATGTTTAACACCCTCTCACGAATGCTTTTGATTCGATGAGTCTCTGTCTCGCGAGTTTTCAGAGGATCTCGATCACGTCCCCGCGCTCAGAAGCTTGGGGCGGCGACGCCCACACCGCTCCGGCGCGCGCCGCGGCCTGAGTCTTCGTCGTGCGCGGCAAACCGAAATTTGGTATGCCGTCCGAAACTTCAAACCTCACCCGATTCCGGGAGTTCCGGGGGACAGGACGCAAACGACTTTCGTCGTGATGGTCTACCTGCCCTTGTCAAGCAAGGTGCTTGCTCTTTTTGTTGGAGAACCAGATATGTACAGATGATCAGGCAGGAAACCAATGCTTCGTCGGACGATATGAGATGCCATGCTAGAACTGGTGACAGGTCTTACAAGTGGCAGTACAGAAGCTGAGCACATACCATTTCAAGTCTCGTACATGCTCCTCCTCGTCCTCCTTCTCCTCCTCCTCCTCCTCCTCCTCCTCCTCCTCCTCCTGTTCCTCTTTTTCTTCATCCCTATCCGCATCCCCATCCATCATCGCCATCATATGCCTTATCATCACCACCCCACCACCACGATCAACATCATCATCATCATCAACATCATCACCATCACCATCATCATCATCATCACCATCATCATCATCATCATCAGCATCATCATCACCATCATCATCATCATCATCATCATCATCATCATCAACGTAGTTATCACAACCATTGCCATCGTCAGCATCATCTTCATCACTGTATTCATCTTCATTTTCATCATCATTACCATCATCATCATATTCTTCTTCATCTTATTCATCTTTATGTTCACAATTATCGTCATCTTCGTCATCGTTAGCATCATCAACACCGCCATCACCAGCAGTATCGTCATCATCATCATCATCATCGTCGTCATCATCATCATCATCACCGCCATCACCAGCAGTATCGTCATCATCATCATCATCATCATCATCATCATCATCACCGAACAGATATCGAACAAACCACCGCTGAGGACTGCAGATCCTGAGACCACCGCATCCGATGAGGATGAAGATTTTGATTACGGCGCAGGGTGGCTTACACTGACCTTCACAGACGTGAGGTCTTGTCACTTCGGACACAGGTGTGGAGACTGCTCCCACTGGTACTTGAGACATGTTGAGACTTGAGGTTGGGGTTCAGGGTTGACCCTACTACCTAAACGTGGCGCGGGTCTTAGTCTTAAGCAGAATCCGGAGCTCCAGCCCCAAGATTGGCAGTTGGAGAGGAAGGAGAGTATTTTTAAGATCCCTTCTCAAAGGTATATGCTTCCAGATAGCATTGTCTATGCAATTCGTGCCTGAAGATGCTGTCTTAAGGAATTGAAGGTTTTGGTTCAGCAGGTTGCATGGCGCCGCATGTTTTACCACTCACCTTCGACTCCGTCCATACATGTCCGGGTAAATCACTAATCTAGACTACGCGGGTACATTCCGCGTCCTTGAGGAAGATGGACTGAGGGCAAGGAAGCTTCGACTCTGCGAGGGACACCTTATGGTAGTTAGACAGCAAGAGTGTTCAATACGTTACAGGACATCAACAAGTAGTAGTATCAGTATTTCCTGATAGTCTGCAAATGAATGTACAATACTAGACTTCGAGCACCTTTTTCTCAATACCAAGGCCCCTTTACTGTAGCAGACGGCTTTTGTTTAGGCAGCGTGGCCACCATTTTCAGGTCCAGGTGGGCCGGACCTTCAAACCTCAACTGGGCCGCACGACACAAAACCAACACTGAGCAAGTTCCTTGCTCAAGGGTACACAGACAACAAGGATGTTAAAGTCATCGAGCCATCATCTGGAGCATGCGTACTCGTAACAGCCCGTCGCTGAAACAGAACTCATACTGTCGTGCCAGTTCTGGTATGATGGCGCATACCCGCACATACCTGACCAACTGAGGCAGGGAAGGATTACTGGGACAACAGATACAAGGCCACCCGGCCCACTCCTGGGCTACGGATCTGGTGTTCGGGTTAGAGCCCTTATAGGGAACGTGCAGAAGGCTTATATGCACTTTTGTGGCTCCTTAATGTGGGCCCTTTAAACCAGCCCCCTTTACTTAAGCTTGCGGCGGGCACGAGTTCAGGGACGAAGTCTGTCTCAAGCTCCCCAGAGCGCGTCACATTCCGTTTTTGGCTTTTTCATGCCTGGGAAGCGAAAGATGACGGGCAAGCCACTTTACAGATAGCATGCCGCTTGCAGGCCTACATAGGCACCCTGAGCCTGATGTTTTTTTTTTGCCAAAACCCGAAGCTCCAAACCCGATCTCCCTCAACTCTGACGATTTCTGAGTGAGGGATTCGCTCTATAACAGCACCCTCAGACAATTCACAACCATGCTTCAGACTCCGAATCGCGTTGAATGTTTGCTTTTGAGTCAGAATATACATGCCCAGCAGTGCGAATACCGTACCTACACACACACACACTTCTGCCAAATATTTGCATATATGTATGTGAGAATATACGTATGTGCACGCATACATGTATTTGTTTATCCACGCTGCCAGAAAGAAGAGGGCAAGAACTTCGACTGGCCTTTATCTCAGCCCCGGTTTGCCGCTGTCCAGGAGAGGGGCCGGACTCATTCACAACAGTATTCCGAAGAGTGCCTCATACAACTATACCACAAGACACTCAAGGCCCTATTCCACTCCCTGAGGCCCCGATAGAAGTCCGATTCGAGGTTTGTTTGCTGCACCGGGTTGTGGTGGGCTTGGGATTTCAGATGGTGCTTCTCGGCCACGTCTGGAAGATCTTAAGTGCAGGAGTCTCGTTCCAATCTTGTAGGTGCAGTCGGGGCAGTGTATTTTGAAAAGCTGTGATCATATTTTTCGGGTTCTAAATATATTGATCCTAAAATGTACCCCTAAACCCCACAGGTCTACAGCCCTACACCCCAAGACCCTCTTCTAACTCATTCAGGCCCCGCCATGAGGCCGAAGATCGTATCCTCACCAACACCGCAAAGCACAAAACTCGCAATCTGCCAAAAACTTAAACCCTAAACCCACAGAAAAGGCCGATGCACTTAGAAACAAACCTAAACCCTAAACCTGGGGAGCTTCAAGAAGCCGGGCAGGTGGCTTTGGGGATTAGGTTGTGCGGTTTAGGGGTTTAGTTTTTTGGAGTTTAGGGTATGCTACAGAAAAAAATGCGTTGTGGCTTTGCGATACTGCAATTATATTACGGAGTTCTCTCTAACAAGCAGCCCCAAAGTTGATAAGACTTTAGGCCCCGCGATGCAAGGGAGTTTCCGAAAATGGGGGACCCTAATACAATACCCTACATAGTAGGATCCTTACTATAAGGACCCCCGATGTAAGGTACCCCCCCCCCAATTTTCGGAAACTCCCATATGGATAGTTGTCAAAATTAGGGGTCCCCTTTTTGGGTACCCCAAATATTAGGTGCCGTATTATATTAGGGACCCAAAATGGGACCATAATTTTGACAACCACCCATACAAGGGTAGCCCGAGGCTCGGCGACTACGAGAAGTTCCGCGAGTTTATTGAGACTCTTGGCTTCCAAAGCTGGCCCTCATTTTTGGGTTTAGGTTAGAAGCTGCCCCCACCCTGTAATAGTGATATAATAGGAATATAATAGGGCCCTAATATAATCCTTATAGTCACTATTACAGGGTGGGGGCAGCTTCTAAGGTTTAGGGTTTAGCGTTTAGGATTTGGGGTTTAGGGTTTAGGGTATACGAGTTAGGGTTCAGGACTTAGGCTTTAGGGTATAAGGTTTAGGATTTAGGATCTAGGGTTTAGGATTTACGGTTTGGGGTTTAGGGAGCTGTTCTGCGAGATCGAGACTCCTACTTAGAGGGCCACGGGACTTAGTGGCAGGGGCAACGAATAATGTAGGGGCCCGAATAAGTAAACCCTAAACCCTAAACCTTAAACCCTAGACCTACACTATTTTCAAGCACACTAAGGAGTGCGACGGCGAGCCTCGACGGAGGGACCTCGCCTCAGCGCAATGACGACGATTTTGAGGATGGTGCTTTGGGAAGCCCTACACCCGAAGAGAACTCCTAAATTTAAATCCTGGGGAGCCCTAAACCCGAAGAGAACTCCTATATCCTGAAAAGATGGGGTTTGATAAGACTTTTCGGGTGCTTTTCCCAACTTAGGGCTCTGATCCTGCAGTCCGAGGGCGTTGAAACTAGGGTATACACTACGCAAATTTCGGTCTGCTTTCGGAGATTTTATTGTCTCCAAGTTTGGGGGTTTGGGTTCATGCATGCAGCCACGGAACGAACGAGAAGCGAACGACTTGTAAGAAATACATGACGGCCCAAGGTCATGGGGTTCAGGGTTTAGGGGCTTCAGTTGCAGGCTTTAGGATGAGTTGGGCAGTGAGTTACTGCAGATCGGGATTTTCAACTTCTAAACCTATACAGCCTAAACCCTAAACTACTACGCCACCACATCGTCGACCGCTTCTTCCACCATACCGTCCTGGCTACGTAGAGGAGAACGCAGACGGCTGGCATGGGTTAGAGGGCTCTTCCGTCGGGGACCAGGGTCGTGAACGAGACCGTGAACGAAGTCGTAGCCGTGACCTTGCCCCTGGCCCTGGCTCCGTCTCTTCTGCTCCAGGTGGTGTCCCTGTGCAACGTGATGGTGATGGTTCAGTCGAGGACAGTGGTGATGGTGATTCGGTGGCTGATGAAGACGCACGTCGGTTTGCTGAGCATCGTGGTCAAATGTATCCTCGCCGTCGTCGCACTTCGAGCCCCCATTCGAGTCCTGATCGCACGCATCCCTGACTGAGTGAGTGGTCATGTGCTGTTTTGGCTGCCTGTTTATCTCTGGCAGTGTCTTCTCTGATCAAAGGTTGGAGAGTCTGAGTGTGTGCCCATTATTGGGTGAGCTGGATCTGCGGAGAAAGCCCGTCACACTTTAACCCTGATCATAACCTCCATAGACCCCTTCCCTAGTAGTAGAGTAGGTAACCTTTAACTTTTTTGGGTAGTATAATCCCTATATAACCAAAAAGGTTAACCTTTAGTTCCCGATGATACTCGGCTGGGTAGCCTTTAAAGGGAGAAGAAACCCCCTAAACTTCTTTGCGGCCCGCCGAGGCCTCGCTCCGCGAAAGTCCTAGATCTGGGCTGCGGAAACGCCAAGCTGGCGGAGGAATCCGTACCTTAACGGTTGAGAGTTTACAGGGTTCAGGGTTTAGGGTTCAGGGTTTAGGGTTCAGGGTTTAGGGTTGAGGGTTTAGGCTTTAGGGTTCAGGGTTTAGGGTTCAGGGTTTAGGCTTGACGGTTTAGGGTTTAGGGTTCAGGGTTCAGGCTTCTTGTTGGAGCGTCCCTGTAAATTCCGAAGTAGGGTTCATAATGGGAGCCTACGAAAAGTAGGTTACGGCAGTGGGGAATTTTTGGGCGTGGCGCTCCTTAGGGGGCTTTGAAGGTTGAAGGATCGGAGGACTACTAGGACATGTTTTTTTTGGGAGGGGTGGGGGTTGGGGAGGGGGTGTGAGACGGGGCTTCGGGGTTGCGTCTATGGTTGAGGGTTCATTTTCGGGTACTATAGGGGCCTTGATAGTTAGAATAAGGTTTTGGGGTATATTATACTATAATCATAGTAAGGAAGCCCCCAAATATCATGGGTGATTATTGAGGCCCCCTTATTATACCAGCTTGGGGGTTAAGGGGTTTAGGGAGTGTTGGCGGTTGAGGGCTAGTGGTTCGGATCTGGGGTACCGGAAGTCTTCAGCTACACCGAGCAGAGTATGGTTCAGGGTTGAGGGCTTGGGGTTTAGGGTTTAGGGGATTTCAGTGTCCTCCTGCTGCTTGCCCGTGCGCTTAGAACCCCGTGTGCTGCCAGGAGATGTACGACGATGGCTTCGAGAACATCACGGCCCTCGACATATCCGAGGCCACCGATTGAAGACACTCAAGCGTGGAAAAAAATACAGAGGCCAGCCTCGGAGTTTATTGTAGTCTTGGCAGTTCGGTGAAGACCTAAATGGGTGGTTGTCAAAATTCGGGTCCCCTTTTGGGTTCTTATTATAATACGGCACCTAATATTTAAGGGATCCAAAAAGGGACCATAATATTTACAACTACCCAAATCGACCAGCCGGATCCCCGCTCCCGGCTCATCACTCAAACCCAAAACACAACTTTCGGCAAACACGTTCGGTCGAAACTTATCCTTTAACAAATTTCGAAAAACCCTAATCATATCCTTTAAGAAAGAAATGAGTTGGTTTTGCTTGTCGTCGCTTGCGTCGAACCCCCGACCCCATCAATTTCAGGCCCAAACCCCTTTCACAGTCATTCCCGAGCCCAGCCCAGCCCCAGCCCCAGCCCAGCCCAGCCCGCCAGCCAGCCCAGAAAACCCGGCCCCAGATCCAAGCCCAGCCCAGCCCAGCTTCCCGGCTCATGACTGAAAAGGGGCCCGACATGACAACCAAGACCCCAGACACACATAACCGAAACTCCGACGGGAGGACGTGACGGTCCCGGGTTAGCTTGGCTGAAGGGTTCAAGTCGCCTAACAAATTGGTAATCACTCGAGGGTTCTCAATTGCAGATTGTCTGCATGCAAGGTTTGCCGTTCGATGCTGCAGCATGCTGCCACGCACAACATGCCGACTGGCATGACTGACATGTCTAAGCATCAGCATACTCTTACTCGTGGGCAAGTCCTCCGCACGTGCACACACTCAGAGAGAGAGAGAGATAGAGAGAGAGAGAGAGAGAGAGAAAGAGAGAGATAGCGAGAGAGCGAGAGAGCGCATGCTCGCAAACGACAGGATTTCTCTAGTCACAACATATCAAGACTTCGCCACACACCACCATCTCCAGCCACACAGGTGTAGGAGTTCAATGTAATCTCGGTCCCATGCCACTGTTGGCGGCTTAGAGTATAGCAAACCCTGCATACGAATTCTGCGACCACAAGCCAATGCACCCGCGACCACCCCGTCGCAGGTTACAGATACAGTAAGTCGACCATTGAGCCTTTGACAAGTCGATTCATAAGTCAGCCAGCCAGGAGTTAAATTCACCAGCCAGCCAGGCAGGCAATTCAATGTATTTTCGGAGGCCTGACGCCCAGGCCCGAAAATACATTGAATTCCAGACTTCACTGTATTTGCACAAAAGCAAAAACCATTCAATGTATTTGTAGGATATAGTTCCAAGACCGGCAAAATACATTGATGGTGCACAGCAAAGAAGAAAATACATTGAATTCCAGAATTCGCTGTATTTCTGGCATGCAGCGGCGGCGAGCCAAAAATACATTGAATTTCCTATGTTCCTAGTGCTGCAAACATCGAAACCCAAGATTGGCTGAATACTTGGAAGACAGCGGCAGGGAGCGGAAGTTGTACGGAACCCCCTGAATTTCTTTAACTCGTTAACTGTAATTAGCCTTCCACGTGCTGCTCTCGGGTGCATTGCCTGGTGAATGCAGAATTAGTATGCTGGGTGTACTCTTAGACTCAGACAGTGCAAGAGGTCCGAGATTACATTGAACGTTCTACACCCGAATCCTTCCAGATAATGGGGTGTGGCAAAGTGTTTGATGATTGCCAGGTTGACGTGTTGCGACTACAGAAATGCTGCCGTCTCTGCAAACGTACGCAAGATCTGTGTGCGTGTGTGTGTGTGTGGGTGTGTGGGTGTGCATGTGTCGGGCAGCCCACGAGCAAGAACGCAGTGTACACATCGTCTTTACGTCGGTGTGCAGATGCTTAGACATGTCAGTCACGCCAGTCGGCATGTTGTGCGTGGCAGCCTGCTGCAGCATCGAACGGCAAACCTTGCGTGCAGACACAATCGGTAACTGAGAACCCTCCAGCATGTAAGGTGAGCCCCATGATTACCGATTTGTTAGGCGACTTGAACCCTTCAGCCAAGCAAACCCCGGACCGTCACGTCCTCCCGCCGGAGTTTCGGTTATGCTTGTCTGGGGTCTCGGTTGTCATGTCGGGCCCCTTGAAACACAAATTCAAAAAGGAAACCTGTCAAAACTTTCGGTCAAAACTTATTGGCACCCAAAACCCTTATCAATTTCTATAAACCCTAAACCTTCATCGGTCTAGGCCCCAGTTCCGATCTCCAGCAGGTTGCTATTGAGTCGATGCGCTGCGGCCTGAATGCCGACGGGTAGACATGACCTGCCGACACATGGTCTAGGGCTTGGGGCTCGGGGTTTAGGGTCTAGGGGTGCGAAGCTTCGTGACAGGATCTCATCAACAACACTCCGTAAGACCCTTAATTAAACCTGGTCAGGGTTTTGTGCCCTTAGAGAAGAAGCGTGTTTAGTGTCCGTAGAGAAGAAGCGCCCAGCCAAGCAAAAAATCAAGAGCCCGAGGCCAAAGAAACTCCGAGGCGCGCCCGCGCATTGACTGGGCCGACCGCTCAGAACTTGGAGGATCAGTCGACTTCGCAAGTAAGGTTACCGGGGTCCGCTCTCTACAGGGGTGCTATGGGGTTTGGGGGTCGTAGAGGACGTAGTCAGAAATATATGAGTTCTTCAAGTGGGGTTTAGAGCTTAACTGGAAGTGTTTTTTGTCGGTAAGTGTGGTGACCTGACGTATAATGCTAGTTGCCAAATCCCATGACCCCTTAAGATGCCTGAAATATGCCGTATAAAACCCTTCGAGAGCCCTTGCGATTGCACCATTTCTGTAGCTGCTACCCATGTTATGTCATCCTCCTCAGTTGACTTTGGCTTGCGGATCAGTGTGTGAAGCTGCTCTTAGCCTTCTGGCACGGGCGGCCAGCATCATGAGCATCAGCTGAAAGCTGTGTTTCAACCAGGCCCAGCATCATGAGCATTAGCCGACAGCTGTGTTTCCGGCAGCCCACCAGGGGCGGCCGAACCCTGAACCCCGGAACCGTAAGTACCCTAAAACCCGAAACCCTAAACCCGATGTAAATTCTGAATCATGGTCTACGGCTTTGGGCTAGACTCGAAGATTTCAAATCTCTCAAGCCTCATATATAGGTTTGGATTAGTACAAATAGGAATACCCTTAGCGTCCATTTCGAATTTTGTTATAACCTGTCCCAAAACCCTATTCTAATTATGAATGTTTACTTGGAAAGTGTTTTCATTAGTAGTAGGGCGTATTTTTCTTTACTATCACTTTTGAGGGATCTTGCTCTTGCTCTTGCTCCTGCTCTGACTCTTGCTCCCGCGCTGGCTTTTGCTCCCGCTCCTGCCGCGTCTCTTGCGGCTGCTCCTGCGTTTGCTCTCGCTCTTACTCCTGCTTTTGCTCCTGCTCTTGCTCCTCCTACTGTTGCTTTTGCTTTTGCTCCTGCTCTTACTCCCGCTCCTGCTCTTGCTCCCCTTGATGCAAATTTGGTTTTAAAGGGTGGGGATGGTTTCGAGAGGACTGGCCGCACCGTTTTGCGTGTTTGGCCGTGCGTAACAAATTGGGGCGCAACGACGACGGATCTCTAGCACCCTCCGAGCACGAACTAGCCTGGGTTGTCCTTTGGGATCTTTTTTAATTTCCCCTACCATTTTGTACAGAGCCATCATAGTAAATAGTTCTCAAAGGGCTTGAAGGACAACTCAGTAGCCAGTAGCCTCACATCCTGCGGATTCTCTGCAAGACTTCAATGACTCAACTCAGGGTTTTAGGGCTTAGGGTTTTGGTGCAGTTAGTGATTGTCGGGCATTCAGGGCATTTGGGCTTTAGGATGTTGAGGGTTCAGGGTGTCTAGGCTTATCACGGGCGTCGTTCTTTCTATAAATTAGGGTAAAAGCCAGAAAGTTGGAATATGATTATCTTAACCCTTCTATGGTAAATTATAGGGTATCCTACCATGAAACCATATTCCAACTTTCTGGAGTTCCCTGTAGGGGTGTGAGGGACCCTGGAAGGCACTGCAGTGTTCCATAGCCCTACTTACCGTGAGCGTCCGTGAGCACTCAGAGCCCTCGACTGTGCGTACCACCCATTAGGGACCCGAAAAGCACATAAGCATATGCATTTTAAAGGGATATCACTACCTTATCGGGCTTCATTATTATAAGGGGGTCTTTAAGAGACATCCCTATACTAATTTTTGCTTATGTGGGGCCTTAACCCAAGTCTTGCCGATTACTGGCAGCCCTGAAATCCCAGAACCCTTAACCCAAAACCCGAAAACTGGAGCCTAAGTTTCATGTTCGGAGAGGTCGTTGGAGATGCCTTTGATCTGCAGTTGGAGGAGCTACCCTCATTATAACTATAATCTAGGATTCCCAGTAGGACCCTGATTCCCTTTTTGTAGTCCTAGGTTCCTTATAAAGGTACCCAATACCAAAAAGGGAGCCCTTTTTATTCCTAGCTTGCTGGGCATCCTGGATAATCATTAAGGCCCCTGTATTAGCCTCAAACCCGAGTCCAACCTCATCTGGTGAACTTCCGAAGTTTGTCATGCTGCTCTCTAGAGTCGCTTGTCGATTACTATAGGCGCCCCAAAATCACCTATACTACTTTGGGGGCTCCTTGTCCTTAGTTGTAGTGTAACATACTAGTGCCTAGTACCCCAAGACCCTATTCCAATAAATATTAAGGCGACAATATTACCCCAAAGTGGCCATATTACTTCCCACCGAAATGCAAGCTTGTCTGGAGGCTTCTGCAGTAGGACACTGTTGGCTCTACATATAGGGTCCGCGTCCCTAAACGCTACAACCCTAAAACCTAAAAAACCCTAAACCCTAAAACCCTAAACCCGAAAACCCCCCTAAACCCAAGGCTTAGGCCGCCCACCTCCGTGCGTGGGAGGCGCGGTCTCCAAAAAGGGACCCCCTCAGCAGGGGCAGCCTCGGGCATCCAGCAAGCAGAATTCAAGGATCTAGGGCCTCCAGGCCGGTGCTAGGGGAAAACCGACGCACTCGAAATTGCACAGTCGCAAAATACTTCCACTTTTGCGCCACTCTACCCTAAACCCTAAAGCCCTAAACTCTAAACCCTAAAACCCTGGAACCCTGAACCCTAAAGCCCTAAACTCTAAACTCTAAACACTAAACCCCAAAACCCTAAAGCCCTAAACCCTGGAACTCCACTTCGCTTTGCTGCTTCAGGACCAGAGCTTCGATCTGGTCATTGACAAGAGCACGCCTGATGCTTGGGAATGGTTTAGGGTTTAGGGTTTCGGATTTTAGGGTTTAGGGTTCAGGGATTGCGGGGGTTTCGGGTTTAGGGTTTAGGGGGGTTTTCGGGTTTAGGGTTTCGGGTTACAGGGTTTAGGGTCTAGGGTTTTGGGTTTTAAGGTTTAGGGTTCAGGGTTTGGGTTCAGGGTTTAGGGGGGGTTTCGGGTTTAGGGTTTCGGGTTACAGGGTTGAGGGTTTAGGGTTTTAGGGTTTAGGGTTGCATCTTGAAGCTTTTTCTCCTCTCAGCAGTTCATAACAACCAGGACTCGACTGCTTTTGATTATGGGCAATTGTGGTCCTATACTGTGAAACTACCATGTTGATGGTTTCAGGCCATACAAGATCATGGACTATTCAGTTTGTTTGGGAGGATTTGGGTGTCGTTTGCTTAGAAGGGTTTCAGAGAGCAACTGGAGAAGACTCCAATTGAAGGCCAGTGCCCAATGAAGTGAATGCCAAACATGCTATGGATATAGAAGTCTGAATATTGACTAGTACTACCCCGTGGGGTTCCTTATTATATGCATACTCATACACATCCCAAACCCTATCCTAATTCTTAAGGCTCATGTCTCAGTGCCTTCCACCTTTCGCCGAAGCGCCCAGTGCAAACCCAAAAGCCCTAAATCCTTAAACACTTAACGCCCTAAAGGCCTTGTAGCCTTGAAGCCCTAACCGTAAATAAAGCCATACAATCCCATAATCCTTGGGCACTAAAGCTCCAAAGCCAACTTCAAAAGCCCTCCTAAGCCTCAAACCCTCCTAAACCCTGAACCCTCCTAACCTCATGGTTTCCTTGCCTCTTCCCGCTGAAGGACGGACGCGGTGTCCTGCGATGCGGACCACATTCATGAGAATATGCCCAGCTCCCGGAGTGCCTCAGGCAGGGTATAAAGGGGTTGAATATGTATGTATATATATATATATATATATATAAATATAGAAATTAATGATATATATATATATATATATATATGTCTGCCTATTATGGGCCTGAAGCATTCGATAGAGGGGGGTCTACTGTAGTAGAAGTAGCATAGTAAGGATCCAGAGAATAACCTTGGTACTGATTCAGGCTCCCATATTCGTGTTTTGGGATTGCGTGTTTGGGATTACGTAGGGTCGAGGGTTTCAGGACTCAGGGCTTGAAGGTTGTAGGGATGCGAGTTTATAGTTTTAGGCTCTGGAGTTCAGGGTTTAGGCCTTTAGGGTATATAGGCTTAGGGTTTTGGAGTTCAGAAATCTTGGGCCCAGAAGCTCAAGGCCCGCAAAATGCAGCGAAACCTGAACCCGAAGGACCCGGCAAGAAACCCGAGATTCCACACCCCTAAAGTCAGGGCCTAAGTCAGTCCTGCGGCCCAAGCCAAGACTTAGTCAACCCTGAAGCCCTAAGCCAACCCTAAATCCCAAACCTAAACCCTAAACCCCAAACCCCATACCTAAACCCTATACCCTACACTCCTTAACCCCTAAACCCTAAACCCAAAGCCCTAACCCCCCAAGCTCTCCAAGGACACGGATGTACGGCGAGGTCTTCCGAGTGCTGAAGCCAGCCCGAAGCTCGGAATGGCCATTTTGTTTCTATGATTATGACACCTAATGTAGGAACCTGATTAAGAAACCCTGGGCCTATAACCCCAAAATGGTAGGATTCATAAACGGAACGCCGACACCTACTCTTAGAATGACTACCAGTAGTATTGCCAGCAGTTCGTGCTTTATTCTCGAGATGTCACGAGACAGTTGAGACCGCCGACACAGGAGCCGAACCGTGCTTACAGATGTCAACAACACGCCACACACACAGACACACACACAGAGAGACACACACAGAGACACACACAGAGACACACACACAGACACACACAGAGACACACACAGAGACACACACACAGACACACACAGACACACACAGACACACACACACACAGACACACACAGACACACACAGAGACACACACAGAGACACACACACAGAGACACACAGAGACACACACAGAGACACACACAGAGACACACACAGAGACACACAGACACACACAGACCGACACACAGACACACACAGACACACACAGAGACACACACAGAGACACACACAGAGACACAGAGACACACACAGAGACACACACAGAGACACACACAGAGACACACACAGAGAGACACACAGAGACACACACAGAGACACGCACAGAGACACACACAGAGACACACACAGAGACACACACAGAGACACACAGAGACACACAGAGACACACGGAGACACACAGAGACACACAGAGACACACACAGACACACACAGACACACACAGACACACACACAGACACACACAGACACACACACAGACACACACAGACACACGCAGACACACACAGACACACACAGACACACACACACAGACACACACACAGACACACAGACACACAGACACACAGACACACAGACACACAGACACACAGACACACAGACACACAGACACACAGACACACAGACACACAGACACACAGACACACAGACACAGACACACACAGACACACACAGACACACACAGACCCACACAGACACACACAGACACAGACACTTAAGCACACATCCACTCTCTACGCGCACGGACACATGCACGCACGCGCACGCACAACATGAACGCAGGCAAACACACACACACATACACACGCACACACACACACACACTCACACTCACACACACTCACACACACACTCACACACACACACAATGTGCCGAACTGCATGTGTGTGTATATATATTTATACATCCACACATAATTTTGCATATGCGTATAACATATGTATGCGTGCTTGTATGTTTGCAGAAAGAACCATCTGTTTAGAAAAAACTAGGGGCATACGTCTATGTACATAATGTATGCTTATATGTAGAGCATACACAGATGTATGCATGCACACAGGCATGCATGCACATATGTACCTCTGTGTGTATGTATGTATGTTTGTGTTTGTATATATGTATGTATGTATGCAAGTATGTATGTATGTATCTATGTCTTCATGTACCTTTGGGTGCATGGATGCCTGTATGTATGTATGTACGTATGTATGTATGTGTATATACGTATATACATATATGTATATATACACTTCCTTTTGTACTCATGTATCTATGTATACATATTTCTTTTTTACACATGTATGTGTGTATATACATATATATATATATATATATGTATATTAAACACATATTAAAATCACCTGTGTATGTATGCATGTGTTGATGCATACATGTACGTATACATATATATATATATATATATGTATACACATGTATATATATATATGTACATATGTGTATATATATATACACATACATAGCACAGCCATGTCTTGTAGCCGAAGTGTACAGCCACCGAGCAATTCAAAACCGCATATGTGACCGCAAACCCCGAAACCCAACCTCTTGCACAAGGCTTAACCGCACTACAACCTCAAACTGAAACCTTAGCTTGAGTCGAAAATGGCTATGTGGTTGGGGTTGGCATGCTTGGGATACTGGGTGCAGGAATTTCGGGCCTGAGAGTGCTGCCTGCACAGTGCCCATTCCGAGCATTGGCAAACATAGCAGCAACCCTGAACTCTGAGCCCTGGGTTTAGGGTTTAGGGGTTTGGGGTTTAGGGTTTAGGGGTTTAGGGTTTAGAACCCTGCAGAATAGTAGGCTATAACCCCTTCAAGGGTTTCGGGTTTAGAACCGGTTATAACCCCTTGCATTAGGGTGTAGAGCCCTTAAAACGGTCGGTTTTCGGATCCCAGGGACAACCCTGAACCCTACGCTCGGATCTTCCAAGGGAGGCACCTTCCTGGTGTTCAGTTCGGTGGTTGATGTGCTGCCGACCTGCTTTGCTTAAGAACCGTAGCAGATGGGCCTTAATAATGAGAAGAGGGTTTTTTTGGGTATATTATAGTTAAACGTTAAGAACTTTAGTAGAGGGGCCTTAATAATGAGAAGAGGCTTATGGTGTAATTATATATTCTACTTAAACTCGAACAAGGAACCGTAAGGAATAACAGACTCTGCCAGTCTGAAGCCTAAGCTTGGCAGTGTAAACCCATGGTCCTCAATCGCATGAGTTTGAACCCCACAACCCCTAAACCCGAAGCTCCAAGCCTAATAGCTCGGCGCCCGAATTCCTTTCTAGACTCCGGATTACCCTAGATTTTCCCTGAATACCCACTACCAAGGACTAAACCAGAGCCGAGATTGCCCAGGTTTCAACGTCTGAAAACAAGCCCTAAACACGGATTCTGTAGTAGCTTCACTCTATGTACACTTGTATGTGTGCTTGTATATTATATACATACATACATGTCAGTGGAGATTTTCTATCCTGGTCGTTGGCATGTAAGTTTAAAGCAGGCTCCAAGTCCTCAGATGTAAACCCCTCACCCCCAGAGTCTAGGGTGTCTAAACCCTGCGGAACTCCAATCTCTGCGCTCTAAACATCAAGCTCCAGACCAGAAGCTAGCTGCAGCTGTAGAGTATAGGGTTCAGGTCCTCTCGACGTTGAATCTGAAGTCAAGACATTCTCCTTTGCCGGTTTCGGGTTCGTTGCTGTCCTTTTACCTTAAACCTTTACCCCCCCATAACCCACATAACACCCAGCACCCCCATAACCCCCCTTAATCTTTCAAACCAAACCCCCAATCCCATCTAACCCCTAGGGTCTCGGACCGTTGCCAGGTTCCGCAGGCCGCCTTGCAACTGCCACATTTGTCCTTCGACGTCACAGAGAAGGCGCTTTCGCTGTGCCCCCTAAACACGGAGATTTATGCAGACCTGGCTTAGGGTATGTTTGGGCTTATGACGTGTCTCCCCCCAAAGCCCTGCTTAAAGGATCATGGTCCCTTAGTAAGTAGGGTTACAAGTAAAGTAACTACAGTTAGAACTGCTTATAACCCCAATTAAGGTACTTATAACCCGACTTACTACGTCCCATGATCCTCCTTCTAGAACCCTTCCTTTTAAGGAACCCCATTATAGAACCCTATAGTACCCTTAAAATGGAGCCCTAAACTGTATCTCCGACGCGCGGAGGAGATCTACCGACCCTTCTCCAAGCTCTTTGCGTTCTCCGCGCGAAAGTGCGCGGAAGCGCCCAGGGCATCGACTGAGGAGGCGGGGAGAACTGGGAGTTTCCAAAATTGGGGGTACCTTTTTGGGGGGTCCTTATAACAAGGATCCTACTATTTAGGGTAATTACTATATTGGGGTCCCCTATTTTCGGAAACTCCCAACTGTGTGCGCTCAGGGTTTGGGCTTTGGGGTTTATGGTCTTTTGGGGCGCAGGGTTTAGGGATGTCCCTAAGGGTCCTATGTACCGATACCGATATAGTAGAATTTAGGGTTTCCATATTAGGAATTACTATAATGACTTAAGGAAGTATCCCCCATAACAGTACATAGGACCCTTTGGGTGTGGAGCTACCGGAGTTCATTTACGGCAGAGTCTTAGAGCCCGTGCTACCCGAGCATCTGCTGCCTCGGAGACCGGATCCTTGCAAGGATCTAGAAAGTAGATCCCTTAATGGGGGTTCAGGGTTTAGGATTATTTTTAGGGTTTAGGGGTATTTCAGGGTTTAGGGTTGAGGGTCTCTTAATGGGTGTTCAGGGTTTAGGTCATTTTTAGGGTTTAGGGGTATTTCAGGGTTTGGGGTTTAGGGTCTCTTAATGGGGGTTCCGATAAAGTACCCTTAGTAGTATAGGGCCCCAAATTAGGGGATCTACTTTCTAGATTTTTTCCGGGGTCTGGGGAATGAAAATAACTCGATGCCGGCTGGGTCGTCGTAGAATCCAAAGAGTGGCAATCCACGGTAGGAATTCCAAACGAACGCCCAGTCTCTCATGGGACCAGCCAGCTGCCCGACATGTCCTGATGTGTCCATGAATGAATGCCAGCTCCTCCATCATGGAGCAACCCACAACCCTATGGACCCAAACAAATTCTACACCCGAAGCCCCAAAACCCTAGTTCTAACTGTTTAGGCCCCTATAGTTAATTCTCGACCCCCCTTGATGCGCCGAAATTCACACCCCGAACCGATTCTTAGACCCTCGAGGCCCAGGCGTTCGTGTGGATAATTGTTCAGGATCTGGGGTTTAGAGCTTGCGGTTTAGGTTCGGGTTGAAGGTTAAGAGCTTCAGGTAGAGGGGTTTAGGGTTTAGGGTTTATGAATAGGGTCCGAGAGCCAAGATACGTCTCAGGCCTTGCAGCAGAGCCGCGTCGTCGATCAGCGCATGGTGCAGGCTCTGTGGCGCCGATCGATTTCAGGGTTTCCAGGGTTTAAGAGGCTGTTCCACCGCAAGCTGAAACCTGTTAAACCTGTTGAGGGTTTCTCGCTCACTGAAGCATCCTGATACTCCGCAATGCATGTTTTAGGGTCTATGTCAAACCCTGAACCCCAAACTTTTCCCCCTGCTTTCTGAACATGTCAAATCTTGCCCACCCTAAACCCTAAACCCTAAAAGCCCTAAACCCTAAACCCTAAACCAATCAGGAGCGGCAGCGCTTGAAGATGGCTCGCGACGCACAGGCGGCAGCAGACGAGTCTCGCACTGAGCATGATCGGGGGTTCAGGGGACTTAGTAAGTACAGTTATAAGTACCCTAACTGAGGTTATACCCAATTATAAGTATAGTTACCTTATTTATAACCATAGGTTCTAAGTCCCGTGAACCTTTAAGCATGATCGGGATGTATCACGCGGCGTAGTATTCACTTGGGCTTCAGGGTTTGGCTGTAAGTGTTCCCTGCACCCTAAATCCTGACCTTCTAGCAGAAGCTTCTCCACAAACTGGAGGAAGAGGATTCTGAAGCCTGAAAATCCGAATCCTACCTGCCAAGACCTACTTTCTTGCAGGGCCCACAAAGCTAATCAGAGCCTTCCCAGACCTCCAAAAAAGTAGGTTTGAGGGCGGTTTAAAGCAAAGTCTAAACCATCAACGCTCAGCCTGCCAAAACTGAACTCTGAGCCCTCACCGGGCTTGGGGGGCTTAGGGATTTAGGCAAGAGGGTTTACAGTTCAGGGTTTAGGGGGTTTGGGTTTTGGAGGGTTTAGGGACCTTAAACCCTAAAGCCTAGACCGTAAGCCCTTAGGGATTAGGCGTTTAGGGTTCAGGAAACAGATAGGCGGACGACCCGATCGACCGAGATTGAGCCTGTGCCACAGACAGAGGAGATAGGATCCCAGGGTTGCAGGTGAAGGGTTCTACAGTTTAGGATTATAATAGGGTTTAGGGTTTAGGAATATCTTCAATTCTTCGGGATTTACGGTCTTAAGCTTTTGGAGTTGAGCGGTTTCGGGTTGAAGGCATGTATGTATGTGCATGTGCGTATGCAGTCATCATGGATTGGCTGGCTGGCTGCATGGATGGATGGGTGGATGGGCGGATGGGGTGGACGGGTGGGTGTATGGAGGGGCGGATGGATGGGTGGATGAGTGGATGGATGGATTGGGTGGGTGGATGGATCCATAGACGGGTGGATGCTGTCGTTCAGCAGCAAGTGACTGTAGTCAGTTCGGACAACCATCGCAGGCATGCAGCCATTAGGCGGCTATATAGATATGTGACAGAGTCGGTATATGAAGATAAACACGAAAGTGAGCAAAGCTACATACGCCGACAGTAGGAACAAATTCCCAAACCCTAAAGCCCTAGATCCTGAACTGCTGAACCCCTTGACGGCTAAACCCTAAACTCTAAACCCCTACTCAATGTGAATGCGTTGGGACGGACGACTTTGGCTGGGGTGGATACCTGAAGCTTTTCTCTCCTTTGGTGAGGGTGTGCTCTGAGGGCGCTTTCTTGCGGTTCAAGGTTTAGGGTTTAGGGTTTGTTTGAGAGTCTATGACTGCAGACTGCATCATGGACTCTAGTGGGGAGCCGACTCGGAAGGCGATGACAAAGAGACCGTTAGGGTTTAGGGTTTAGGGTCACCCTGAACCCTAAACCTGCACTAGGGTTTAGGGTTCAGGGTTTGTGCTTTCGAGCCGGCAGAACCTTTGCACCCAGGCGGTTGAAGGAGACCTCGCCCAGCAGCTTCGGTGTGCTTGACTGACCACGGGGCTTAGGGGTTAGGGGTTTACTAAGGGTACAGGGCCATACGGTTTAAGCCTAAAGGTTTCACGTTCATGGGGGTTGCGGTTTAGGGATTAGTATGGGGCTTTGGGTTCGAGGTGTAGGGGTTGGGGTTCTTGTTAGGTCAGTGTTTAGGACTGACTCAAGGTTCAAGGGTTGCAATCGCACTAGTGTACTGCACTCTACAGTATCTGAGGTATAGGAATAGGAATCGCGTTGCTGATGATTGGGTCTCCTTTCCCATAGGCCCCAAAGTAGTTCCTTTTTGGGATTACCTTATAGGATTCTAAATATGAACCCCAAAAAGGAACTACTTTGGAGCCTTAGGGTTTTCCTCTCAAGAAGACCAGGCGCGCGAGTAAAACGATACCGCCTGGAGTGGGTGCGCCGAGATGCGTACTCCTCTGTGCTCGACGACTCCTCGAAAGCCGGTAATCCCAAAGGGTCCAAGTACCATTATAGTAGGCACTTAGTAGGTATTTTGGGCCCCAAAGTATATCCTATACTACTACTTGGACCCTTTGGGAATGTAGTGCTGATGCCTCTGCCTGCATCTTCCGTGTCCGTAGCCGCTGAAGGCAGCTCAAGCAAGCCAGAACCGTTGGAAAGCATGCTTAAGGGCCTTGCGTTACACAGCCGGAGAAGCAGCAGCTTCCGTATCCGTTGTTCAAATTTGTGCGAAGATTGTACTTATCCTGTTCCTTCTGAAACACCCTAAAGTAAAAGCCAGAAAGTTGGAATATGATTATCCTAAGCCTTCTATGGTAAATTATAAGGCATCCTACCCTGAAACCATGTTCCAACTTTCTGGAGTTCCCTTTAAAGCCCCGGACCTCGGCGACTGACTCTGGAGTGGCTTCATCTAGCTTCCTGAGTAGCGCCCTTTGGCCGATTTTAGTTTAGGGCCCCTTATTTAAACCCAAATGGCAGGAAAAAGTGTACTCGTACAATAAAATATCAAAAAGGCGCTACTCTGAAGCCAGTCATGGCGACCCGAAAGACGAAGAAGGCCCCTGCTGCCTGGCTCGTGGCCGCAAGGAAGGATGGAACGAATCTCCAGGAGCCGATTCCCTGGGAATTTGCCTCGTCTTGTTCGGGGGTTTAGGGATTAGGTGTTTAGGGGTTAAGGGTTGAGGGGTTTAGGAGTGGGAAAGCTGAAAAAACCAGTATCCTGCTCTAGATCCTACGGCCCCTGTATTCGAGCTTTGTGTGCAAGAGTTGAGCTGTGCTCCGGCCTGCGAGGCTTGCTTTAGAGCGAGAAGCGGGCAGACTTGCAAGTAGCAGGGGCTACAGTCAAGAGTTTAGATCCTTGAAGCCTACGGTTTAGTAGGCTGTAGGGTTTAGGGTTTAGGGGACTGTCAGGACGTCCGGCTGCTCCTCAAGATCCGTGACGGAAACCAGGAGCTGGGAAGTGCGGGATGCGCAATGTCGTTTGCCACGTCCATGCTTGAGTTCGGATCTCATGCAGATACCTTCTGCTTAGACTCAACGTGAACGACAGCAAACCACTTCAGGTCTGTGTAAGCCACAGACCCACAACTTTTGAAACAGGATCAGTTCTTAGGCACTCTCGGGAACAATTAGCAGCCCTGGCGCTAGCCGTACAAATATTGACAAAGGTGAGGTCTGTTTACTCTAATGAGTAGCAGCCTACGTCCGAAATCGCAGGTCGCACTACAGCTGCAATGCATACGAACAGCGGCTTCTGAGCCTTTAAGGTAAAAGCCAGAAAGTTGGAATATCATTATCGTAACCCCTTTAATGTAAATTATAGGGGATCCTACCATTAATCCATATTCCAACTTTCTGGAGTTCCCTTTATCACATCACATCAGTAAGTGGTAAGACAACACCACAGGTCCAAAGAGAACAGAACCAGCGTGTCAACGCGAAAACCATTAGCACAACCTAGAAATGCGAGTAGTGCTCTCAATGCTGACTCCTGAACATAAGTTTTCTCGCCTGTTGCATGGTCCGTCAGGGCTATTCAGAACATGCGCCGTTGCTGCCGTGCACGGCCACTATCATCGAATCGCTCCGCACCGGCCACCGCCCAACCCCCACCCTCGCTGCACCTCGACTCTCCAAGCCACGACTGCCACCGCACTAACATCAAAACCGACACCAACACGACACCACCAGCCGCCGGCGGCAGCAGCAACACCAAAACCGACATCGGATATCAACATCTACGTCAGCATCATCCTCATGGCCGTCGTCACGGTAATCACCACCACCAGCATCATCATCAGCAGCATCACCATCATCATCATCATCATCAACAACATCGAGGTCATCATCATTACCACCAGCTTCGTCATCATCATCATCATCACCATCATCATCATCATAATTATCATCAGTAAAGTTATTGTTATTGTTTTATTTCTTCTACTACTACTACTACTACTACTACTACTACTACTACTACTACTACTACTACTACTACTTCTACTACTACTACTACTACTGCTACTGCTGCTGCTGCTGCTGCTACTACTGCAACCACTACGACTGCTGCTACTACTACCACCACCACCACCACCACCACCACCACCACCACCACCACTACCACTACCACTACCACTGCCACTACCACTACCACTCCCACTGCCACTGCCACTGCCACTACCACTACCACTACCACTACCACTACCACCTACTACTACTACTACTACTACTACTACTACTACTACTACTACTACTACTACTACTACTACTACTACTACTACTACTACTACTACTACTACTACTACTACTACTACTACTACTACTACTACTACTACTACTACTACTACTACTACTACTACTACTACTACTACTACGACCACTACTACTACTACTACTACTACTACTACTACTACTACTACTACTACTACTACTACTACTACTGCTACTACTACCACTACTATTTTCGGGCTTTTTCCATCATCGATAACATTATCCTCTGCATCGCTGTCTTCATCTACTTCTTCATCAGCAGCATCATCATCGCCAACATCACCGCCATCTTCGTCACCAACAACACAAGCAACAACACCCTCGCCTGTTGCTATCATCACCGTCATCACCGTCATCACCGTCATCACCGTCATTGTGATGTTGATCATCATGTTCATCCATTGTGTCATCATCATTGTCATCATCATTGTCATCATCATCGTCATCGACATCTTCTTCTTTTTCACTATCACCACGCTCTTATTCAGCATTCTGTTCGTCATCATCTTCTTCTTCATCACCAGCATCACCATCACCATGATTTCCATCTTGCCCTTGTTGTCACTAAGTTTCCTGCTTACATCGCCGTGCAAAGTGCTGCCGGTTTCGTTTACGACTTTTCATATTCTAGACTCGCATCATTCCTTTCCCTTCTTGTCGATGTCGCGAGGAGGATGCCTGGGTCGCCGCCGCGCAGGTCGACCCAAAGTGGAAGTCGCGCCTTGGTTTTGTAGCAAGTCCTATGGTGCATCGGTTATGGCACGTGCCGTCGGTGCCCCTTCTGGAAATTCTCCTATATTATGTGCCATCTGTTAGGTGCACACGCTTTGTGCTGTAAGGCGCGGGCAGACGGCGCTGTACTTTGCCGCTGCACGGCAGGCGGGCTTTGATGCGATGGCGCCGGCGGGTTGCTTTCTGAAGGTTGAGCAGGAAATTCAGCAGAATCATCGGCTAGTTGTCGCGATTACCGGGATCATCACGGATGCTTCAGGCCTTGGCAACGTGAACTGGACCACCTGGGACCAAGAGCCTTTTAGACCAGTGGTTACTGTCGGATTTGGATGCATGTACCATCGCCAAAATGAGCTGGATGTGTTGGCAGCAGGGTTTTGACGGTGCTGTCGAGGCATTCGGGACAACACTAGCACCAAAGGGGGGGCTGGGAAGTGTGATGATGGGGCGCCAAGGCCACGACAGGCCAGGGACGTAGCAAAAAATGCCACCTACCGATACTGGCAAAAAGGCTTTGTCTTGCAGCCCAAAGCAAGCTTCTTGAAGGGTCGCGGCACAGGACGCAATCGAAGCTGAGAAAATTTGTCGATTCCTGATGAGGCCTGGTGCTGACGGGTTGAGCGATGGGTTCTGGGAGCATGCAGCATGAACGGTTCATCCAAGTTGTTCCGGAAGAGCCCTCTTCTAGGTGCAGTTGGGGTCTGTCCTAGCGGCCTAGCGGTGACATCAGCAAGAAACACCAAACTCGTACACATCTTAGCCTTAGCCAAGCCCTGTTTTCTGCCACGTCTTGACCTCTGTAGGGTTGAAGTAATTGCCAACATGATTCCATGGGGTTCTTTCAGTGTACTTACCACGAAAGCCTGTTATGCATACTAAGGCCCCTATAAGAGCCTGTATTGCAGCCCGTCGCACAGACTCCCAAACCCCTTAGATTAAGAAATGTACCTTGAATTATGCTAGGGATCCCGCTGCAAGAAAGGTAGTCCTTAATTTAGGGGTTGGAGTCTCTGGGCTAACACCCAATCCCTGAGCAGCCCAGTCGAATGCGCGTGCCGGCAACAAAGAGGGATGACTGGGGCCAAAGCCCTCTGTTGCTCGGCTGTGTGGCATCAGTGTTCAGATTTCCGATAATTTTGACCATGATGGGACATGGTGACTATAACCCGAATCGGGGCGTTGTAGTCTTACTCACTATGCCGATGTCTCCTGATCCCAAACGGACAGACTGGGGTCGGGGCTTCTTTACCAGTCGTGCGATGTGCTGGGCTCTTTTCAGACGTCTTACAGTGGTTCGGAGGCCCCTGTCGCTTCAGGTAAGATCGTTCATGCGGCGCTCTCAAACTCCCAGCCTTCAACCCTCAGAGCTGTTAGCTCCAGAATCCTACAAGACACCGAATGGGGGTTTCCGAACATAGGCCATAGGGGACCCTAATATAGTACCGACCCGTACATGTTTGTCACACAGGACCCTAAACCCTCAACACTAGGACCCTAAACCGTGGGACCTTTGTAAATCCTTCTTGACATGGTTCTCAAAAAGTTTGCAACTTATAAACTAGGATGCCCAGTAGTACCCTTATTCCTTCTTGTAGTCCTAGGTTCCTTATAAAGTTACCCAATACCAAAAAGGGGGCCCTCTTTATTCCTAGGTTACTGGGCATCCTAGTTAAAGTGTCTATTTGACTGTTTGGCTTCTTGCTTGGCATCTTCTGTACAAGCTTTGTCATGGCGTTCCTTCTTTTGTCAATAGCTGGTAATTCGCCTTGTCTCAGCTTGTCTTCGTGTTGTCCAAGTTTGTCTTAACTTGTCGTCTTAATTGAGGCTTGACCTCCCCCAGTTCGAGGACTTTAAAGGGTTTAGGGTATAGGGTTTAGGGTTTAGTGTTTGGAAGGGAGGTGCAACAGGAAGGATTCGCTTTGTTCCCGAAACAACGGCCTAGAGGGAGCCTAACCTCAAAACTTCGGCCGCTAACAGTCGTAACAATGATAACGCATGACAGAAGCAAGAGTTGCAATCACTATAGCAATAGTAGTGATCGTGATAAGGGCTCTAACGGCATTATTATCTATCAGCAAGCGCAAAAAGCAAATGCACCAACCGGGGCACTGTGCTAATCCATGAAGTTCTGCTCGGCATGATCTTGCCGCTCAGGTTCTTCGCAGCTAGACAAGGACACACGGCGCGACTGGGATGAGCCTTTAGGGTAGAGTGTGGAATGGGCTGCAATCTCGGAATACGGCTTCGAGATATTTGGAGATTTTGTCGGTGTTATGAGCGGAGACTTCCTTGACCCTAAATGTTTGCGCATGCTGAAGGTGTGGACCTGCGTACTTTGAATCATGAAGCGTAGCTGAGGCTTTGTGCGTACTTCGTTGAGAAGTTGGGCATGAATGTCCATCAAGTGGACAGGTGGGGGGAAACCCCCATGTTTTATGCGATGGAAGCCAAGAAGACCGAGACGGTCACTTGGTGGCTCTTAATGCGCCGATTGGTCCACTTCTTGATGAGCCGTTTTGGCTTGAACCCCGAACCCGAAACCTCAAACTCCCACATACCCTAAGCCCTAAACATCTCAATACAGTCTCAAGCCCCGAAACCCCAAACTGCCAACATCCAGGTCATATACCTGCTGAAGAAGGGTGCGTCGCTCGGGGTGAACAACCACAACTTCGAGTCGCCAGAGAGCCTTGCACCGGTGGAGGTGGCTCGCGAGCTGCAGGCAAGAAAAGGGGTCGGAAGTTCAGGGGCTGGGGGTTTATGGTTTAGGAGTCGGAAGAGTTAGTAAGGGTAGTCCTTATAGTATGTACCTCGAAACCCCATTCTGCTCATTAGGGCTCGAACTTAAGCCACACCCCAAACCCAAACCCGAAACCTCAAGCCCTAAACCCCAAACCCCAAACTCCATTCCAGTCAGTCAGGCCCCTCTTTCAGGTCCGGATGAAATAAAAATACTAGTAATAGAAATAATAGTACTGGTCATAATAACAAAAGTAGTACGAACAGTAACTATAGCAGTAACAGTAAGAATTAGAATAGTTGTAAGAACAAACAGAACAATAATAATCAGAAGAAAACAAGATTGCTAGTACTAACAACCGTAGTAATCGTAATAAGAATAATTCTAGTAGTAGTAGTAGTAGTAGTAGTAGTAGTAGTAGTAGTAGTAGTAGTAGTAGTAGTAGTAGTAGTAGCAGCAGCAGCAGCAGCAGCAGCAGTACTACTGCTGCTGCTGCTGCTACCACTACTACTACTAGGAAGAAGAATAACATTAGTAATAACAGTTATAATAACAATAAGAATACCAATAATAGTCCACTTGAAGCGAGGTCCGGATGAAGGAGTGGGCCGAGCCCTCAAAGGCTCCGGAGCGGTCGGGAGACACAAAGAAGAGAAACTGGGCTCTTGTTGGAGGCTTGATTGGAGGGTTTAGGGCTTAGGGTTTCCTTTGAGGCTCCCTTGAAGGGTTGCTGTAAGGGTTACTCTCGGGTTTGGGGTCTGCGGTTAAGGAACTTATTTTAAGTTGCCATGCTAGGGATCTAGAATGAACAACGTCGTCTTCTTATTCTGGCAATTGAAATTAATTCCCTAACCCTAACAAGAACCCAGGAAAGAGGCCGGATGAGGAGGAGGTTGAGGAGCAAGGATCAGCCGCAGAGGGACCCCGTGCGCTGCAGGAATGGGCGGCAAAGCCCGCGAAGTTGCCGCGGAACTGGAAGACCCAGTTGGCTCGGGAGAAGCTCAAAGGAGAGCCAAAAGTCATCGCTGACACGTTTACACACAAGGCTGGGTTCTTGTTAGGGATTTCAGTTCAGGGTTTAGGACCCTGCTACGGAAAACCGTATTTGCTATCGATCCGTGTATAATGGACACTTGAAGTAACCCTCTTAGCAATAACCCTCTTAGCAAGAGCCCAGAAGGTGACACTGGTGACCAGCGACGCCCTGGAGGAGGTCCGCCTGCTGGAAAAGACGCTCGTGGCGGACCAGGCTGTCCTGTTCAAGAAGAAGCTGTTCGTCCGGGCGTGCAGGGCGGCCGACTTCTGCTTAGCACTGGGAGCCTATGAGAAGGATGGCCAGTTTTTTGCTGAATACTCTCACATTGTCGCGAATCGCGGCAAAGTTGGCTCTCTCGTGCTGGCGGCTTGGCTAATCCCTAACCCTAAACCCTGGACCGTACACGCGCCAAACCTTGAGGTGGCTCGGGACAAAATGACCGGGCGCATCGTAGGCTTCGTCCATGCGGAAAAGGGCAAAAAAGAGCTGCTGATTGGCCATCTCAAGGCGACGTGTTTCAGACTTTGGGCTTCGGGCCCGGGTATCAGGGCTTGGGGTTTCGGGTTTCAGGTTTCGGGGTTTGGCTTTCGGATTAGAATAATGATCCTACGAAGGGTTCCATAAGAGAGTTTAAAGTTAGGGTCTGGGGCTTATAGGGTTTTGGGCTCCGGATTTAGGGTTTATGGCCTTAGGGGTTCAGGGTTTGACGCTTATGGCTCGGGCTCCCGGGCTCAGGGCTTCGGGTTTGCGGCTTAGGGCTCAAGGGCGAGGGTTTAAGAACGACCACGTGAGCGCTGTTCGGAAGCAATCAGCCACTCGCATTGTTCCTGACGGTTCCTTACTCGAAGTATAGTTTAGCGAGTGCCCAAGTTCAGGGTTCTTGAGGGTTCCTGTTTAGTTGCAAGTACAACATAGTTTACAGCCAAAGCATGATTTATGAGGCCCCCTATACAGGAACCCTAAGGGGAGTAACTATGACTCTCTTAAGGGAGCCCATTTAGCTGCCGCCGGCGCCCGGCGAGGTGCACAATGACCATCAGGGCAAAGGCGTAGGAACGCTGTTGATCCGCGCTGCCGAGGCTCAGGCCGGGGCAGATTACTATTTTTAATTTCGATGATGACTGTGATTATTATTATCATTATTCGTATCGCTAATATTAGTGTTATAATTAGCGTAGTTGTGGTTGTAGTTGTAGTCGTAGCAAGTAGTAAGTAGTAGTAAGCATCGGTGCCAGTGTCAGTATCAGTATCAATAGTAGCAGCCGCATTCCTGGTTGTCGCTGTCATCATCTTGAGCATTGTGATGTGGGTTTGTAATCATCATCATCCTCCTGGTGTTCAAGCATCCGATAAGCCTTTGCGAAGCAATCTTCTTCGTTGCTCTTGCAATTGCCACGAGGGCCAACAAGAAGTTTGCAAAACACACATGAAGCCCGGAGCAGAGCCCAGACATGAGCAGCAGTGTACATTTCGCAGGCACCTGGACCCTCTTCCAAAGCCCTCTGCTCAAAGAAAGGATCACATGGGGCGTAGTAACAGGCTTATAATGCCTGGGGGACTCAACTTTGCTTCCGAGGGCCAGGGAGACTCCACGTCGGACATGTTATTATGATCTTGAAGCCCTGCCTGCCCGTGGAGGCGTTGACCGCAGGATGGACTTTCGACTCCGTGGCAGTACGTGTCCTATACGTGAACTCGCCAGCGCAGCAGAAATTTTTCCGATGCTTGGGCCGCCACGACTTTAGGGTTTAGCTTTAGGGTTTCGGGCTTAGCGCTTAGCTTTTAAGGCTCAGTTCTTAGGGTTTATTAGGGTTTAGTTATTAGGTTTTACGGTTTAGGGCTTACTTTTAAAGGTTTAGGGCTGATCAGGAGAACAAGGGAAAACTGCGTTCGGATCCTGTCGTCGCTCTCTGGTTCTCTCTGTCTATCTCTCTATCTCTCCATCTCTCCATCTCTCTCCATCTCTCCGTCTCTCCATCTCTCTCTATTTCTCCATCTCTCTATGTCTCCATCTCTCCATCTCTTTTTTTATGTCTCTCTCTCTCTCTCTCTCTCTCGCTCTCTCTCTCTCTCTATCTCTCTGTCTCTCGATCTCTCTATCTCTCTACTTCTCTACCTCTCTCTCTCTGTCTGTTTGTCTCTCTCTCTCTCTCTCTCAAGTTATACCGGTTGTGCTTTCTGCGCTCTTCTGCAGCTTGTTGCTGGGCTTGTCCTGGCCGTGCTTTCCTTGGCAGCTTGTGGAGCCGAGGAATGGGTTTCGACATCCACGACGAGCCGGCACCCGAGACGACAATGAGCATGCTCTCGATGTACCTTCGCCAGCACCATTGCAGTTCCGACCCTAATGTAGCAACCTGATTAAGGAACCCTGGGCCTCTAGCCCCGAGGTCGCAGGATTCATAGAGGGAGTCTTTTTCAGGGCACGAGGTTTCTTAATCAGGTTCCTACATTAGCTAATGTAAAGGGGCCTTAATAATTAGAATAAGGCGTCTTTAAAGGGGTCTAGAAGGATTGCTATACAATAAAAGCCAGAAAGTTGGAATATGATTATCCTAAACCCTTTATGGGAAATTATAGGGTATCCTACCCTGAAACCATATTCCAACTTTCTGGAGTTCCCTTTAAAGGGGTCCAGAAGGATTACTATAAAGGGCTTGTAGCCTAACCCTAAACCCTGACGGGCTCTGCGGTCGCTCCGAAGGCCGCCACGATCCCATATGCAAGCTCTCTGAGTCACAAGCATGGGGGTTTGGGGTATATCAGAATCTTAATACATAGGGGGTTTGGAGTATATTAGAATCTTAGTACATAATTGTTTTGGGGTATATTTTAATCTTAGTACATAGGGGTTTGGGGTTCATTACGGTATGCAGGTGCGTGAAGATGGTCCGCCGTGCTCAGCATGCCCCTGAAGCGCCAAAGGAGAAGATCAAGATCGAGCCATATGCTCCTCGGTTTTAGCAGATATTGGATGTGGTGAGCAGGTTCCCTCTTCAGCTCGTTCAGGATTTAGGGTTTAGGGCCCTGGAAACTCCATGACCTTGCAGCACGAGGTGCAAACGGCTTTGGCGCCGTGGCACTACAAGGGGCTGCGCGTGAGAAAAACGATCCGGTGCTGCCGCATGGTGGAGCCTCCTAAACGGGATGATGACTCCGCGACGGATCCGGAGATGCCTGAGTTGATCCCGGTCACGCCGAATTGGTTGTACTCACCGCGGGCTCCCAAGCTGTTTCTTTGCTGGCAGTGCTCTTGCTGTACTAAGATACTGTGCTCCAAGGTCTCCTGAAGAATTTGTCCAGGTTCAGGGCATCGACTTTTGAATCTTGTGCCGGCTTGGATGTTTCAAGTTCAAGCTTCACTGACCTTGCCGAAAAGATGGGACAGCGCCGCAAGTTCGGACTATTGCTAATTGCGCTGGATCAGGTCAGGCAGTTTCAACATTCTTTCAGCCTTCGTCACAAGTGTCTCACCTCTTGGTGAGCAAGAGCAGAACACGACTTCGTACCATCTGGTACCAAACCCTATGAACCCTAACCCCCCCGCACAATAAGCACCAGCAGTACGGAGGGGTTATTGAAGCTGCCCACAGCTCCGGCGCGTGCTTTCGAAGCCTTGCCCTGTTACTATTCCCTAAGGCTCCATGTACCCATGTAGTATATACTTAGGCCTTACAGTACCCATATCGGGACCCCCTTTTAAGGCTTAAGTATTTACTATAAAGGCACATGGAGCCTTTGGGATTACTATCTATTACTAGCACTAGTACTATTGCTGTCTCTATTGCTGCTAGTCTTAGCATGAGTATTACTTTTACTGCTTGTTAATTATTAAGTACCATTACGATTACTATTACTGTTACTCTTTGTCTTCTTATTGTCCTTCTTATTACTATTGCTATTCTGAGTATTCCTAGTAATGTGACTATTAGTGCAAGTGTTTGTTGCTGTTTGGAGGATCCTACTTAAAGGTTCATGGGACTTAGTAACTATGGTTATAAATAAATTAACTATAATACTTGTAATTGGATATAACCCCAGTTAGGGTACTTATAACTGTACTTACTAAGTCCCATGAACCCCCAAGTAGACCCTAAACCCTAAACCCTATAGATCCCTTTTAAGGAACCCTATAGATCCCTTTAAGGAGCCCTTTCAGAGATACCCCTCTGTGCTCGACGAATCGTCGAGAGCCGGAAATGCAGTCCTGCTACCTCTGTCTGCATTTTCCGTGTCCATAGCCGCTGAAGGCAGCTCAAGCAAGCCAGAACCGTTTGGTCGCATGCTTAAGTGCATTGCAATACACAGCCGGAGAAGCAGCAGCTTCCGTTTCTGTTGTTCAGATTGGTGCGAAGAGTGTACTTCTCCCTCCGAACTTTTTTCTAATCACTGACTCCCTGAAACGTCGTCATGGCGACCCGGAAGACGAAGAAGGCACCTGCTGCCTGGCTCGTGGCGGCAAGGAAGGCTGGCACAAATCTCCAGGATCCGATTCCCTGCTGGGATTTACCTCGTCTTTCAGGGTTTAGGGTTCAGGGGTTTAGGAGTGTGGAGGTTTAAAAACAACTATCCTGCTCTAAATCCTAGGGCCTCTATGTTAGAGGTTTGTGTGCGAAAACCGGGCAGACTTGCAAAGTAGCCGGGGCTACAGTCACGAGTTTAGATCCTTGAAGCCTACGATTTAGGAGGCTTGAGGGTTTAGGGGACTGTCAGGACGTCCGGCTGCTCCTCAAGATCCGTGATGGAATACAGGAGCTGGGAAGTGCGGCGCTAGGGATTCGCAACGTCTTTTGCGACGCTGAGCAATTGAACCGTTTTAACTTGCAGTGCAAGTCTTGAATCCGTACTTGAGTTCGGGTCTCATGCAGACACCTTCTGTTTAGGCTCATCAACGACATGAACAACAACAAACCACTTCAGGTCTTTGGTCTAAGCCACAGACGCACAACTCTTGAAACAGGAACAGTTCTTAGGCACTCTCGGGAATAATTAGCCTCCCTGGCGCTAGCCGTGCAAATACTGGCAACGATGAATTATGTTTACTCTGATGAGTTGCAGCCTACGGCCGAAATCACCGGCCGTGCTTAAGCTGCAATACATACGAACAGCGGTTCCTGAGCCTTTATCACATCACATCAGTAAATGTTAAGACAACACTACAGGTCCTAGCCTCCACACAAAAGAGAACAGAACCACCGTGACAGTGCGAAAACCATCAGCACAAAATTTTAGAAATGCGAGTATATAGTTTTACCAACGTGGACCTGAAAACATATGCTTTCTAACTCTATTGCCAGGCCCGTCAGGGCTATTCAGAATATGCGCCGCAACCACACCACCATGCACGCTATCATCGACGTCGCACCACAACCGCCACCACGCAGCCCCCACCCTCCCTCCACCCGCCCCACCAGCACGAGTACCAACATTAACACCAGTGCGAACACCAACATCAAAGCCAACACGAACACGACACCACCAGCCGGCGGCGGCAACATCAACACCAACACCGACATCGGATATCAACATCAAGTCAGCATCATCCTCACGGTCGTCCCCACTGTAATAACCAACACCATCGCCATCATCATCATCATCATCATCATCAGCATCATCATCGAGGTCATCATCATCACCAATACCATTAGCATCAGCATCTCCATCATCATCTATTTAATCTACATCATCATCATCATCACCACCAAGAGCAGCATCATCACCACCACCATCTTCATCACCAGCAACACACACAACAACACCCTTCTTCTTTTACTATCATCACGGTCACCACCGCCGTCGTGATGTTCAACATCATGCTCATTGATATTCCCATCGTGATGATGATGATGATGATCATCATCATCCTCATCATCAGTGACATCTTCTTCTTCATCATCTTCATCATCACGTTCTGATTCGACATCCTGTTTCTCATCATCATTTCCAGCTTGGTCTTGTTTGTCACTATGTGCACTGCTTACATCACCCTGCAAAGGGCGATCGTTTTCTTTACCACTTTTTATATAGACTCGCATCACTTCATTTTCCTTCTTTTCGGTCGTCTGCAGAGTGGATCGCGGTGCCGCGAGGAGGAAGCCTGGGTCGCCGCCGCGCAGGTCGACCCAAAGTGGAAGTCGCGCCTTGGTCTTGTAGCAAGGCCTAGGATGCATTCGGTTATGACGTGCCATCGGTGCCCCTTCTGGAAACGCTCCTTCATTATGTTCTAGCTGTTACTTGCACACTCTTCGTGCTGTAAGGCGCGGGCAGACGGGGCTGTACTTTGCCGCTGCACGGCAGGCGGGCTTTGATGTGATGGCGGCGGCGGGATGGTTTTGGAAGGTTGAGCAAGAAGTTCAGCAGAATCATCGGCTAGTAGTCGCGATTGCCGGGATCATCACGGATGTTTCAGGCCTTGGCAACGTGAACTGGACCACCTGGGCCCCAACCTTTTTGACCAGTGGTTACTGTCGGATTTGGATGCAGGTACCATCGCCACAATGAGCTGGATGTGTTAGCAGGGTTTTGACGGTGCCGTAGAGGCATTCGGGACAACACTAGCGCCAAAGGGTGGGGCTGGGAAGTGTGATGATGGGGTGTCAAGGCTATGACAAGCTGGGGACATAGCAAAAACACACCACCTACCGATGCTGCCAAAGAGGTCTTGTCTTGCAGCCCAAAGCAAGCTTCTTGAAGGGTCCCTGCACAGGATCCAATCGACGCTGAGAAAATTTGTCGATTCCTGATGAGGCCTGGTGCTGACGGGTTGAACGATGGGGTCCGGGAGCATGCTGCATCAACGGTTCATCCGAGTTGTTCCGGAAGAGCCCTCTTCTAGGTGCAGTTGGGGTCTGTCCTAGCGGTTACATCAGCCCGAACTCGTACACATCTTAGTCTTGGCCTTAGCCGAGCCCTGTTTTCTGCCACGTCTTGACCTCTGTAGGGCTGAAGTAATTGCCAACATGATTCCTTGGTGTTCTTTCAGTATACCCATACTACAATGTACGTACCACGAAAGCCTGGTATGCATAGTAAGGCCCCTATAAGAGCCTGTATTGGAGCCCGTCGCACAGACTCCCAAACCCCTTAGATTAAGAAATATACCTTGAATTATGCTAGGGATCTCCCTGCAATAAAGGTAGTCCTTAATTTAGGGGTTGGAGTCTCTGGGCTAACACCCAATATCTGAGCAGCCCAGTCGAATGCGCGTGCCGGCAACAAAGAGGGATGACTGGGGCCAAAGCCCTTTGTTGCTCGGCTGTGTGGCAGTTGGGTTCAGGTTTCCTATGGTTGAAGCCATCATGGGACTTAGTCACTGTAACCCCAAGTAAGGTGTTCATGTTCATACTTTCTATGCCGATGTCTCGTGGTCCCAAAAGGACAGACTGGGTCGGGGGCTTCTACGAGTCGTGTGCTACACTGATCTCCCCTGAGGTTGTTGTCGTATTGTACAGTGGTTCGAGGCCCTTGATTTTAGTGGTCGCTTTCGGCTAGGATCGTCAATGCCCTGCGGTCCTCTCACACCTCGGCCCTTAAACCCTTTGGGCTTTCAGCTCCAAAATCCTACAAAGCACCAAATTATTGAAGCTTATCTAGCCACCTTTTTATCAAATCAAGCTTTGTCCTCAGTTATCTTGATTTCTCTTTCTTTGTCTCCATGTGTCTTCCTTCTTCATTTTTGGCGTTCGTGGTCCTCTCTGCCTTTATGACTTGTCCTTACTAGCTCTTTTATCCCATTGTTGCTCGCATGCGACTTCGTGATCTTGCCTCACAGCCCCAATCGGCCTTACCCTACTCCCAGTCCTCACCGGCCTCAGCCCCGCCGCACAGTCCGAAGCCCCACAACATAAAACCCAATCCGAGGGTAACTAGGGGCCCCAGAACTACGGGCCTTGAAAACGTAGCAGGGCTTTAAGCCACGCATGTCTGGCAAACAGGGCCAATAAGATCCTTATCACATCTTACTGATGCATCTTGTTGAATCTGATGAATCCTTGTTTGAAGTCTTGGAAAAGCTATTGTGAGCCTCATGAATCCTTATGGAAGGCCTTTCAAAACTCAAACAATCGCCGCGCTTCCGCAGGGCTCCACGCTGCACCCCGGATCGAGGGCTTACCTCCCTCGCACCCCCAACAGGACTCCAGGGGGGCAGACTGCGCCCCCTCACCGAAAACTGTGAACGCCTTGCCAATCTTTGGAATTCTTTCGCAGTCTTTTTGGATGTTTAAGGCCTCGTAGAGTTGATTTGAACGCTCTCCATGCTTGCAAAGCCACATTAATGTTGTTTGAAAGTCGTTTCATGTTTAAGTGTTTGTTTTCTGTTTGAGTGTCTTTTGTCTGGCATCTTTTGTGCAAGCGTTTCTTCACTTTCCTTGTTTTGTCATTTGTTGTCTCTATTATCATTTGGAATCATTTGTTTGCTTAAGTTTTCAAGCCCCGAGGCTCGAGGTATAAAGGCCCGAGGTTTGAGAGCCTTGCAAAGCCCCAGTGACAGGGAATGTGCATCAGGACCAAAACATCCCGCTAGAGACTTCCTCACCCAAAACTGCCAGCCTCTGCACCAGACGGCTGCCATGGCAGCAGGCAACAGAAGCGACAGTTGCACTGCCATTGCAATAGTCGTGATCATCATCATAGGGACCGTAAAAGCACTACCAGCAAGAGCAAGACTAACAATAACACCAGCGAGGGCAATGGTCTAGTCCGTAAAGTTCGGTTCGACGTGAACTTGCCGATCAGGTTCTACGCAGCTAGACAAGGACACAAAGAGCGACTGGGATGCGTCTTTGGGGTAGAGTATGGAATGGGCTTCGCACGGCTTCAAGGCATTTTTGGAGATATTGTCGGGATTCTGAGCCGGAACTTGCCTTCATCCTGAAAGTTTGCGCGCGCAGAAGGTTTGGATCCGTGTACTTCAAGTCATGAAGTGTAGCTGAGGCTGTGTGCATACTTCGTCGAGAAGTTGGGCATGAGCGTCCATCAAGCAGACAAGTGGGGCGAGACCCCCATGTTTTACGCGATGGAAGCGAAAAAGACCGAGACGGTCACTGGGTGGCATTTTCTGAAACCCTTTGATGCCCCTTGTGGTTCTATAGACTTACTTATTGGTATGTCAGTTTGCCTTGAACCGAAAATCCTAAGTTCCCCAAATCCAGGTCATATACCTCCTCAAGCAGGGCGCGTCGCTCGGCGTCAACAACAAGGGCTTCCAGTCGCCAGAAAGCCTCGCACCGGTTGAGGTGGCTCGCGAGCTGCAGGCGAGAAAAGGGGTCGGAAGAGGTAGTAAGGGGCCTATAGGGTTTAGGGTTTAGGGAGGTTATAGTCCCCGCTGGTACTACAATGCCCCCTTCATAGTCCCTCTTTTGTTGCTGATAATGCCCGCTCGTAGTCCTTGTACAAAAGCCACATTGTATTTCTCAAGGCTTTAGTGCACCCCAAACCCAAAACCCAACCCCAAGCCCCACACTCCAACCCAAGCCCTGCACCCCAAACCCTGACCCTTAAACCCAGCCCTAAACCCCAAACCCTGCACCCCCAAAGCCCTTTTCTGCTTGTTAAGGCCCTTGTTCAGGCCCGGATGAAGGAGTGGGCCGAGCCATTGAAGGCCTCGTCTCGGCAGCCGCAGCCGGCAGACTCAAAGAAGCGACGCTGGGCTCTTGTTAAAGGGCTTCCTTTCAAGGTTCTTTTATAGGGCCTATTGGCAGGGTTCCGGGTTAAGGAATTTTGTTTGAGCCGTTGTGATAGGGATCTACAGTATCAGTAAATCATATGGTCTCCTTATCGTGGCATTTTTTATTTCAGTCCCTATCCAGAACCCAGGCAAGAGACCGGATGAGGAGCAGGAGGAGGAGGAGGAGGCTCAGGAGCAAACATCAGCTGCGGAAGGACCTCGAGCACTTCAGGAATGGGCAGCAAGACCTGCGAAGTTGCCGAGGAATTGGAAGACGCAGTTGGCACGGGAGAAGCTGCAAGGCAAGCCGGAAGTCATCGCCGAAAGCTTCACTCACAAGGCTGGGTTCTTGTTGGGGAGTTTAGTTTAAGTTGCCGTCCATACTACTAGGGAAAGCCATATTCGCTATCCTTCCCTGTATTATGGCCACGTAAAGTAAACTCCGCCAGAAGGTCACGCTCGTGACCACCGACGCCCTGGAAGAGGTCCGGGGCCTCGAGAAGACACTCGTGGCCGACCAGGCCGGCCTCTTCAAGAGGAAGCTGTTCGTCCGGTCGTGCAGGGCGGCCGACTTCTGCTTAGCACTGGGCGCGTACGAGAAAGATGGACAATTTTTCGCAGAGTATTCGCACATCGTCGCCAACCGTGGAAAGGAAGGCTCACTCGTGCTGGTGGCTTGGCTGATCCCTCAAGTGTAGGGTTTAGGGCCTAAACCCTAAACCCTGGACCGTACACACGCCAAACCTTGAGGTGGCTCGGGACAAAACGACCGGGCGCACCGTAGGCTTCGTCCATGCCGAAAAGGGCAGAAAAGAGCTGCTGATTGGCCACCTCAAGGCGACGTGTTTCAGACTTTGGGCTTCGGGCCCGGGTATCAGGGCTTGGGGTTTCGGGTTTCAGGTTTCGGGGTTTGGCTTTCGGATTAGAATAATGATCCTACGAAGGGTTCCAGAAGAAAGTTTAAAGTTAGGGTCTGGGGCTTATAGGGTTTTGGGCTCCGGATTTAGGGTTTATGGCTTTAGGGGTTCAGGGTTTGACGCTTATGGCTCGGGGTCCCGGGCTCAGGGCTTCGGGTTTGCGGCTTAGGGCTCAAGGTTTAAGAACGACCACGTGAGCGCTGTTCGGAAGCAATCAGCCACTCGCATTGTTCCTGACGGTTCCTTACTCGAAGTCTAGTTTAGCGAGTGCCCAAGTTCAGGGTTCTTGAGGGTTCCTTTTCAATTGCAAGTACAACATAGTTTACAGCCAAAGCATGATTTATGAGGCCCCCTATACAGGAACCCTAAGGGGAGTAACTATGACTCTCTTAAGGGAGCCCATTTAGCTGCCGCCGGCGCCCGGCGAGGTGCACAATGACCATCAGGGCAAAGGCGTAGGAACGCTGTTGATCCGCGCTGCCGAGGCTCAGGCCGGGGCAGATTACTATTTTTAATTTCGATGATGACTGTGATTATTATTATGATTATTCGTATCGCTAATATTAGTGTTATAATTAGCGTAGTTGTGGTTGTAGTTGTAGTCGTAGCAAGTAGCAAGTAGTAGTAAGCATCGGTGCCAGTGTCAGTATCAGTATCAATAGTAGCAGCCGCATTACCGGTTGTCGCTGTCATCATGTTGAGCATTTTGATTTGGGTGTAGTCGTAGCAAGTAGTAAGTAGTAGTACGCATCGCTGCCAGTGTCAGTATCAGTATCAATAGTAGCAGCCGCATTCCTGGTTGTCGCTGTCATCATCTTGAGCATTGTGATGTGGGTTTGTAATCATCATCCTCCTGGTGTTCAAGCATCCGATGATCCTTTGCGAAGCAATCTTTTTCGTGGCTCTTGCAATTGCCACGAGGGCCAACAAGAAGTTTACAAAACACACATGAAGCCCGGAGCCTTGTGCTCAGACCCAAGAGCCCAGACATGAGCAGCAGTGTACATTTCGCAAGCGTTAGGCACCTGGACCCTCTTCCAAAGCCCTCTGCTCAAAGAAAGGATCACATGGGGCGTAGTAACAGGCTTATAATGCCTGGGGGACTCAACTTTGCTTCCGAGGGCCAGGGAGACTCCACGTCGGACATGTTATGATCTTGAAGCCCTGCCTGCCCGTGGAGGCGTTGACCGCAGGATGGACTTTCGACTCCGTGGCGGTACGTGTCCTACACGTGAACTCGCCAGCGCAGCAAAAATTTTTCCGATGCTTGGGCCGCCACGACTTTAGGGTTTAGCTTTAGGGTTTCGGGCTTAGCGATTAGCTTTAAGGCTCAGTTCTTAGGGTTTAATAGGGTTTAGTTATTAGGTTTTACGGTTTAGGGCTTACGTTTAAGGGTTGAGGGCTGATCAGGAGAACAAGGGAAAACTGCGTTCGGATCCTGTCGTCGCTCTCTGGTTCTCGCGCTCTATCTCTCGATCTCTCCATCTCTGCATCTCTCCATCTCTCTCCATCTCTCCGTCTTTCCATCTCTCTCTATCTCTCTATCTCTCTATGTCTCCATCTCTCCATCTCTTTGTTTATTTATGTCTCTCTCTCTCTCGCTCTCTCTCTCTCTCTCTATCTCTCTGTCTCTCTATCTCTCTATCTCTCTACTTCTCTACCTCTCTCTCTCTGTCTGTTTCTCTGTCTCTCTGTCTCTCTGTCTCTCTGTCTCTCTGTCTCTCTGTCTCTCTCTCTCTCTCTCTCTCTCAAGTTATACTGTACCGGTTGTGCTTTCTGCGCTCTTCTGCAGCTTTTTGCTGGGCTTGTCCTGGCCGTGCTTTCCTTGGCAGCTTGCGGGGCCGAGGAATGGGTTTCGACATCCACGACGAGCCGGCACCCGAGACGACAATGAGCATGCTCTCGATGTACCTTCGCCAGCACCATTACAGTTCCGACCCTAATGTAGCAACCGGATTAAGGAACCCTGGGCCTCTAGCCCGGAGGTCGCAGGATTCATAGAGGGAGTCTTTTTCAGGGCACGAGGTTTCTTAATCAGGTTCCTACATTAGCTAATGTAAAGGGGCCTTAATAATTAGAATAAGGCGTCTTTAAAGGGGTCTAGAAGGATTACTATACAATAAAAGCCAGAAAGTTGGAATATGATTATCCTAAACCCTTTATGGGAAATTATAGGGTATCCTACCCTGAAACCATATTCCAACTTTCTGGAGTTCCCTTTAAAGGGGTCCAGAAGGATTACTATAAAGGGCTTGTAGCCTAACCCTAAACCCTGACGGGCTCTGCGGTCGCTCCGAAGGCCGCCACGATCCCATATGCAAGCTCTCTGAGTCACAAGCATGGGGGTTTGGGGTATATCAGAATCTTAATACATAGGGGGTTTGGAGTATATTAGAATCTTAGTACATAATTGTTTTGGGGTATATTTTAATCTTAGTACATAGGGGTTTGGGGTTCATTACGGTATGCAGGTGCGTGAAGATGGTCCGCCGTGCTCAGCATGCCCCTGAAGCGCCAAAGGAGAAGATCAAGATCGAGCCATATGCTCCTCGGTTTTAGCAGATATTGGATGTGGTGAGCAGGTTCCCTCTTCAGCTCGTTCAGGATTTAGGGTTTAGGGCCCTGGAAACTCCATGACCTTGCAGCACGAGGTGCAAACGGCTTTGGCGCCGTGGCACTACAAGGGGCTGCGCGTGAGAAAAACGATCCGGTGCTGCCGCATGGTGGAGCCTCCTAAACGGGACGATGACTCCGCGACGGATCCGGAGATGCCTGAGTTGATCCCGGTCACGCCGAATTGGTTGTACTCACCGCGGGCTCCCAAGCTGTTTCTTTGCTGGCAGTGCTCTTGCTGCACTAAGATACTGTGCTCCAAGGTCTCCTGAAGAATTTGTCCAGGTGCAGGGCATCGACTTTTGAATTTTCTGCCGACTTGGATGTTTCAAGTTCAAGTTTCACTGACCTTGCCGAAAAGATGGGACAGCGCCGCAAGTTCGGACTATTGCTAATTGCGCTGGATGGGGTCCTGCCAGGTCAGGCAGGTTCAACATTCTTTAAGCCTTCGTCACAAGTGTCTCACCTCTTGGTGAGCAAGGCAGAACACGACTTCGTACTATCTGGCACCAAGCCCTATGAACCCTAACCCCCGCAAACAATAAGCACCAGCAGTATGGAGGGGTGAATGAAACTGCGCACATCTCCGGCGCGTGCTTTCGAAGCCTTGCCCTGTTACTGGTCCCTAAGGCTCCATGTACCCATGTAGTATATACTTTGGCCTCACAGTACCCATATAGGGACCCCTTTTATGGTTTACGTATTTACGATAAAGGTACATGTTGCCTTTGGCATTACTACCTCTTACTAGCACTAGTACTATGGCTGTCTCTATTGCTATTAGTCTTAGCATGAGTATTACTTTTACTGATTATGAATTGTTAAGTACGATACGATTACTGCTACTGTTACTCTGTTTCTTCTTATTGTCCTTCTTATTGCTATTGCTCTTCTGAGTATTCCTAGTAATGTTACTACTAGTGTAAGTATTTGTTGCTGTTTGGAGCATCCTACTTAAAGCTTCATGGGACTTAGTAACTATGGTTATAAATAAGTTAACTATACTTATAATTGGATATAACCCCAGTTAGGGTACTTGTAACTGTACTTACTAAGTCCCATGAACCCCCAAGTAGACCCTAAACCCTAAACCCTATAGATCCCTTTTAAGGAACCCTATAGATCCCTTTAAGGAGCCCTTTAAGAACCCTTACTAAGTCCCATGATCCTTTAAGTAGCAGAAGACGCTCTCCCATGGTGAGCGGGCCTTGTGCGACGTGATGAGATCCCGCGCTCCCCACCGGCCCGCCTCGAGATCTGATGCTCAAAGTTTCTCTTTTAGGGTTTAGGGTATTGGGATTGGGGTTTAGGATTTAGGGGTTTAGGGTTTAGGGTATTGGGATTAGGGTTGAGGGAAAGGGTGGTTGCTTCAGTTGGTGAAACATGGTGGGTTGAGGGGCACATCGCCGACATCTGAGACCAGGCCCTAAGGTCTTGGAGCCTAGAGCTGTTCACGGCCCCCGGAACTTGCGCCACATCTCCTCTCGCTGGGATCACTGCAGAAGCCATGGCAGCTCATCCACCTCCACCGCCGGATGGGCAAAGCGTCCTGCTCTTACGAAGGCCGTGAGGTCTTGGCTACTTCGGACTCCCTCCCCACACCCATAATTATCTGTGTGCAGCCGCCTAACGCCAAAATCCTAGACGCCCATACTCAAATATTGTTGTCTGATTTTTTTGTGCGGAGCGTGTGACGTGGCTTACTGTGTGGCATAACACCAAACCCTAAACCCTGAAGCAAGGCAATCTCCTCGCCAATAAAGCACGGGGCCTGGCTTCCTGCGTCGAGTGGCAGTTGCCTTCATCATGATACAAGCATGTGGGTCTGTACATGTCTGTACATCCAACTCTGGTGCCAATTGGTGCAATTTAGGGGCCTTAATCATTTGAGTAGGGGCTTTGGCGTGGAGCTGAAGCTTAACAAGAGAAGTTGGCGCTGGGTTTTACTTTCCTGGTCCCCTGAGGTCTTGTTTGTGAAACCCGAAAACCATGATGCCATGATGTGAGTGGTTGTCAAAATTAGGGTCCCTTTTTGGGTCCTTATTATATTACGGCACCTAATATTTAGGGTACCGAAAAAGGGGGCCATAATTTTGACAACCACCCATATGCAAGCCTGAACAGTTGCATCCGTAAGGTTCCTTGTTAGTATTGGGAGTTTCCGAAAATAGGGGACCCTAATATAGCATCCGAAACAGTAGGATCCTTATTTTCAGGACCCCCAAATAAGGTCCCCTCATTTTCGGAAACTCCCAATTCGACGTAGTCTTATGATTAAGGTTGTCATTGCCACGAGGGCCAACAAGAAGTTTACAAAGCAAACATGAAGCCCGGAGTCTTGTGCTCAGACCCAAGAGCCCAGACATGAGCAGCAGTGAACATCTCGCAAGCGTTAGGCACCTGAACTCTCTTCCAAAGCCCTCTGCTGAAAGGAAGGATCACGGGGCCTTTTAACTTGGGGGACTCAACTTTGCTTCCGAAGTCCCGGGAGACTTCACGTTAGACATGTTATGATCTTGAAGCCCTGCCTGCCCGTGGAGGCGTTGAGCGCAGGATGGGCTTTCGACTCCGTGGCCGTGCGTGTCCTGTACGTGAACTCACGTACAGGACACGCACGGCCACGGAGTCGAAATATTTTTCCGATGCTCGGGCCGCCACGACTTGAGGGGTTTAATTAGGGTTTCGGGTTTAGCGGTTCGCATTTCGGGCTCAGCTCTTAGGGTTTATTCGGGTTTAGTCATCAGGTTTTACGGTTTAGTTATTACGGTTTAGGGTTTAGTTTTTAGGGTTCAGGGCTGATCTTCAGACAAGGAAAAACTTCGTTCGGATCCTGCCTCTTGTAGTTCTCCCTCCCTCCCTCCCTCCCTCCCTCGCTCTCTCTCTCTCTCTCTCTCTCTGATCTCTCTCTCTCCCTCTCTCTGCCTCTCTCTGCCTCTCTCTGCCTCTCTCTGCTCTCTCTCTCTCCCTCTCTCTGCCTCTCTCTGCCTCTCTCTGCCTCTCTCTGCCTCTCTCTGCCTCTCTCTGCCTCTCTCTGCCTCTCTCTGCCTCTCTCTGCCTCTCTCTGCCTCTCTCTGTCTCTCTCTCTCTCTCTCTCTCTCTCTCTCTCTCTCTCTCTCTCTCTCTCTCTCAAGTTATACTGTACCGGTTGTGCTTTCTGCGCTCTTCTGCAGCTTGTTGCTGGGCTTGTCCTGGCCGTGCTTTCCTTGGCAGCTTGTGGAGCCGAGGAATGGGTTTCGACATCTTCGACGAGCCGGCACCCGAGACGACGATGAGCATGCTCTCGATGTACCTTCGCCAGCACCAGTACAGTTCCGAGTTCTCTGAGTCACGAGCATGGGGTTTGGGGTATATTATAGTCTTAGTACATAGGCAGCTTGGGGAACTTTACAGTATGCAGGTGCATCAAGATGACCCGCCGTGCTCAGCATGCCCCTCACGCGCCAAAGGAGAAGATCAGGATCGAGCCATATGCTCCTCGGTTTTCGCAGCTGTTCCATGTGGTGAGCAGGTTCCCTCTTCAGCTCGTTTAGGGCCTAGGGCCTTGTTGGAAACTCCATGACCTTGCAGCACGAGGTGCAAACGGCTTTGGCGCCATGGCACTACAAGGGACTACATGTGAGAAAGATGGTGAGGAGCTGCCGCATGGTTGAGCCCCCAAAACGACGATGATTCTGCGACGGATCCGGGGATGCCTGAGTTGATCCCGGACACCCCGTATTGGTTGGACACACCGCGGGCTCCCAAGCTGTCCTTCGCTCTCAGCGCTCTTCCTGTACTAAGAAATTGTGCTCCAAGGTCTCCTGAAGAATTCGTCCAGGTGCAGGGCATCGACTTTTGAGCCTTCCACCGACTTGGAAGTTTCAAGTTTCACAGACCTTGCCGAAAAGATGGGGAAGCGCCGCCAGTTCGGACTAGTGCTGAAGGCACTGGGTGAGGTCGTGCCAGGTCAGGCAGGTTCAATTTTCTGTAAGCCTTCGTCGCGAGTGTGGACCACTGGGGTGAAGCCAAGGGACTGTCTTGAAGCATGCTTGTCAGGGGAACGAAAACTGTCACCTCTTAGTGACCAAGACCAGAACAGGACGTCGTACCATCTCGTACAAAGCCCTATAAACACAAAACCCCCAAACAATGAGCACCAGAAGTAGAGCAAGAACTGGGAGTTTCCGAAAATAGGGGACCCGAATACGGTATCCTAAATACGAGGATGCTTGGTATAAGGACCCCAAAATTAGGTACCCCTAAGTTTCGGAGGCCGAAGCCCTGGAAAATCCTCAGATCCCAAGCAGAAGATCCTAAGACTCAAAGCGGTGCCGCCATGCATTTTTGAACGATGTGAGGGATTCACAGAAGCCGCCCAATTAGGGGTTACGGTTGAGGGTTTTCAGGGCTCAGGGTTTGGAATTTCGGGGTTTCATATGCACGATTCCGGCAAGGGTTGAGGATCCTTTCAGGGTTGTTAAGGGGTGTTGCTAGGGTGTAGGATTTAGCGAACTACGGACCCTCCTGATTGGAATATAGTTCCTTTGTGGATTCCTTGCTTGTGCTATGAGGGCTCTTCGGCATAGGGACATTAATGATTAGAAAAGGGTTTTGGGGTCAATTTTCGTATCACAAGATGGGGACCATGAAGGGATATGATCTGCAATTAGTCCGCCCCCTACATAATTCATCAACTAAATGCAGGATTGTGGATCGTATTTCTGCCTATTCAGGCCCCCAATTACCCAGATTTGTCGAACCTAGTCCTTTTGCCTCTGCCTGCATCTTCCGCGTCTGTAGCCGCTGCATGCAGCCCATGCAAGCCAGAACCGTTTGAACGCATGCTTTAGGGCCTTCCAGTTTGGGGGAGAGGTTTGGGGTTTAGCGTTTCTGCAGTCCCTCGCATTACACAGCCGTAGAAGCAGCAGCTACCCAATCGGTTGTTCAGATTTGTACACCAATTGCCTCACTACCTTAAACCCTAAACCTGCTATAAGTGCCTAGATAACTATACTAATCCTGTTCCTTGTGAAATCTCACCCCGAACGGTGTTCTAATCGGTGAGGAATCATTTCTAAACCCTCAGCCCTGAACTTCGGCGAGTAGCTCCGGAGTGGCCTCATGGCGATGTGGCGACCAGGCAGACGAAGAAGACCCCTCCTGCCTGGCTTGTGCCCGCAAGGAAGGGTGGCACCTCCCGTCAGGATCCGGTTCGCTAGACATGTGCATGGTCTTGCTTACTTTAGCTGTGTTGGTGTGAATGCTTGATAACTGCATTCCGTAGGGTTCCTTAATACCAGTATCCTGTTCTAAATGTTAATGCACATATGTTAGAACTGAGCGGCGCTCGGGCTTGCGAGGCTTGCTTTAAAGTAAAGCGGGGCGGACTTGCAAAGTAGCATGGGCCACAGTCAACAGTTTCGAGCCTTGAAGGCTGTGTCCCACTTCTCTCAACAGGATGCTCCACTACTCCTAAATACAAGTGGCATGAGCTGGGAAGTGCCAGTGTCGTAATACAAGTATCCTGCCACAGAGGGACCCCGCACACGGCAGGAATGGGCAGCAAAACCCGCGAAGTTGCAAAAGAGCTGGAAGACCCAGTTGGCGCGTCGGGCCGCATACCAAAGGGGTTCTTCCAGCGCTGTTGCAACGACGAGAGAAGCTCAGAGGCGGACCATTTTACCCACAAGGCTGGGTTCTTGCTAGGGAATTTAGTTTAAGTTACCGACCATACTAGGGAAAGTGCTCATACTTGCTATCGATCCCTTGATTGTGGTCACTTAAAGTAAGTTCCTTAACAAGAGCCCGGAAGGCGACGCTGGTCACCACCGACGCCCTGGAGGAGGTCCGAGGCCTGGAAGAGACGCTCGTGGCCGACCAGGCCGGCCTCTTCAAGAAGAAGCTCTTTGTCCGGTCGTGCAGGGCGGCCGACTTCTGCTTAGCACTGGGAGCCTATGAGAAGGATGGCCAGTTTTTTGCTGAATACTCTCACATATGTGAGAGTATTCAGCAAAAAACTGGCCATCTTGTCGCCAATCGCAGCAAAGTTGGCTCTCTCGTGCTGGCGGCTTGGCTAATCCCTAACCCTAAACCCTTGGCCGATCCCTCAAGTTTAGGGGTTTAGGGCCTAAACCCTAAACCCTGGACCGTACACACGCCAAACCTTGAGGTGGCTCGGGACAAAACGACCGGGCGCACCGTAGGCTTCGTCCACGCCGAAAAGGGCAAAAAATAGCTGCTGATTGGCCACCTCAAGGCGACGTCGCTCATGGGGTTGACTGCAAACTGCATCATGGACTCTAGTGGGGAGCCGACTCGGAAGGCGATGACAAAGAGACCGTTAGGGTTCAGGGTTTAGGGTTTAGGGTTTAGGGTCACCCTGAACCCTAAACCTGCACTAGGGTTTAGGGTTTAGGGTTTGTGCTTTCGAGCCGGCAGAACCTTTGCACCCAGGCGGTTGAAGGAGACCGCGCCCAGCAGCTTCGGTGTGCTTGACTGACCACGGGCCTTAGGGGTTAGGGGTTTACTAAGGGTACAGGGCCATACGGTTTAAGCCTAAAGGTTTCACGTTCATGGGGGTTGCGGTTTAGGGATCAGTATGGGGCTTTGGGTTCGAGGTTTAGAGGTTGGGGTTCTTGTTAGGTCAGTGTTTAGGACTGACTCAGGGTTCAAGGGTTGAACTCGCATTAGTGTACTGCACTCTACAGTATCTGAGGTATAGGAATAGGAATCGCATTGCTGATGATTGGGTCTCCTTTTTCCTCTCAAGAAGACCAGGCGCGCGAGTAAAACGATACCGCCTGGAGTGGGTGAGTGGAGGTACGTACTCCTCTGTGCTCGACGACTCCTCGAAAGCCGGAAATGCAGTCCTGATGCCTCTGCCTGCATCTTCGGTGTGCGTAGCCGCTGAAGGCAGCTCAAGCAAGCCAGAACCGTTGGAAAGCATGCTTAAGGGCCTTGCGTTACACAGCCGGAGAAGCAGCAGCTTCCGTATCCGTTGTTCAAATTTGTGCGAAGATTGTACTTATCCTGTTCCTTCTGAAACACCCTAAAGTAAAAGCCAGAAAGTTGGAATATGATTATCCTAAGCCTTCTATGGTAAATTATAAGGTATCCTACCCTGAAACCATGTTCCAACTTTCTGGAGTTCCCTTTAAAGCCCCGGACCTCGGCGACTGACTCCGGAGTGGGCTCATCTAGCTTCCTGAGTAGCGCCCTTTGGCCGTTTCTAGCTTAGGGTCCCTTATTACAACCCAAACAGCAGGAAAAAGTGTACTCTTTTTTCAAGTATAAAAAGGCGCTACTCTGAAGCCAGTCATGGCGACCCGAAAGACGAAGAAGGCCCCTGCTGCCTGGCTCGTGGCCGCAAGGAAGGATGGAACGAATCTCCAGGAGCCGATTCCCTGGGAATTTGCCTCGTCTTGTTCGGGGGTTTAGGGATTAGGTGTTTAGGGGTTAAGGGTTGAGGGGTTTAGGAGTGGGAAAGCTGAAAAAACCAGTATCCTGCTCTAGATCCTACGGCCCCTGTATTCGAGCTTTGTGTGCAAGAGTTGAGCTGTGCTCCGGCCTGCGAGGCTTGCTTTAGAGCGAGAAGCGGGCAGACTTGCAAGTAGCAGGGGCTACAGTCAAGAGTTTAGATCCTTGAAGCCTACGGTTTAGTAGGCTGTAGGGTTTAGGGTTTAGGGGACTGTCAGGACGTCCGGCTGCTCCTCAAGATCCGTGACGGAAACCAGGAGCTGGGAAGTGCGGGATGCGCAATGTCGTTTGCCACGTCCATGCTTGAGTTCGGATCTCATGCAGATACCTTCTGCTTAGACTCAACGTGAACGACAGCAAACCACTTCAGGTCTGTGTAAGCCACAGACCCACAACTTTTGAAACAGGATCAGTTCTTAGGCACTCTCGGGAACAATTAGCAGCCCTGGCGCTAGCCGTACAAATATTGACAAAGGTGAGTTCTGTTTACTCTAATGAGTAGCAGCCTACGTCCGAAATCGCAGGTCGCACTACAGCTGCAATGCATACGAACAGCGGCTTCTGAGCCTTTAAGGTAAAAGCCAGAAAGTTGGAATATCATTATCGTAACCCCTTTAATGTAAATTATAGGGGATCCTACCATTAATCCATATTCCAACTTTCTGGAGTTCCCTTTATCACATCACATCAGTAAGTGGTAAGACAACACCACAGGTCCAAAGAGAACAGAACCAGCGTGTCAACGCGAAAACCATTAGCACAACCTAGAAATGCGAGTAGTGCTCTCAATGCTGACTCCTGAACATAAGTTTTCTCGCCTGTTGCAAGGTCCGTCAGGGCTATTCAGAACATGCGCCGTTGCTGCCGTGCACGGCCACTATCATCGAATCGCTCCGCACCGGCCACCGCCCAACCCCCACCCTCGCTGCACCTCGACTCTCCAAGCCACGACTGCCACCGCACTAACATCAAAACCGACACCAACACGACACCACCAGCCGCCGGCGGCAGCAGCAACACCAAAACCGACATCGGATATCAACATCTACGTCAGCATCATCCTCATGGCCGTCGTCACGGTAATCACCACCACCAGCATCATCATCAGCAGCATCACCATCATCATCATCATCATCAACAACATCGAGGTCATCATCATTACCACCAGCTTCGTCATCATCATCATCATCACCATCATCATCATCATAATTATCATCAGTAAAGTTATTGTTATTGTTTTATTTCTTCTACTACTACTACTACTACTACTACTACTACTACTACTACTACTACTACTACTACTACTTCTACTACTACTACTACTACTGCTACTGCTGCTGCTGCTGCTGCTACTACTGCAACCACTACGACTGCTGCTACTACTACCACCACCACCACCACCACCACCACCACCACCACCACCACTACCACTACCACTACCACTGCCACTACCACTACCACTCCCACTGCCACTGCCACTGCCACTACCACTACCACTACCACTACCACTACCACCTACTACTACTACTACTACTACTACTACTACTACTACTACTACTACTACTACTACTATTACTACTACTACTACTACTACTACTACCACCACCACTACGACCACTACTACTACTACTACTACTACTACTACTACTACTACTACTACTACTACTACTACTACTACTACTGCTACTACTACCACTACTATTTTCGGGCTTTTTCCATCATCGATAACATTATCCTCTGCATCGCTGTCTTCATCTACTTCTTCATCAGCAGCATCATCATCGCCAACATCACCGCCATCTTCGTCACCAACAACACAAGCAACAACACCCTCGCCTGTTGCTATCATCACCGTCATCACCGTCATCACCGTCATCACCGTCATTGTGATGTTGATCATCATGTTCATCCATTGTGTCATCATCATTGTCATCATCATTGTCATCATCATCGTCATCGACATCTTCTTCTTTTTCACTATCACCACGCTCTTATTCAGCATTCTGTTCGTCATCATCTTCTTCTTCATCACCAGCATCACCATCACCATGATTTCCATCTTGCCCTTGTTGTCACTAAGTTTCCTGCTTACATCGCCGTGCAAAGTGCTGCCGGTTTCGTTTACGACTTTTCATATTCTAGACTCGCATCATTCCTTTCCCTTCTTGTCGATGTCGCGAGGAGGATGCCTGGGTCGCCGCCGCGCAGGTCGACCCAAAGTGGAAGTCGCGCCTTGGTTTTGTAGCAAGTCCTATGGTGCATCGGTTATGGCACGTGCCGTCGGTGCCCCTTCTGGAAATTCTCCTATATTATGTGCCATCTGTTAGGTGCACACGCTTTGTGCTGTAAGGCGCGGGCAGACGGCGCTGTACTTTGCCGCTGCACGGCAGGCGGGCTTTGATGCGATGGCGCCGGCGGGTTGCTTTCTGAAGGTTGAGCAGGAAATTCAGCAGAATCATCGGCTAGTTGTCGCGATTACCGGGATCATCACGGATGCTTCAGGCCTTGGCAACGTGAACTGGACCACCTGGGACCAAGAGCCTTTTAGACCAGTGGTTACTGTCGGATTTGGATGCATGTACCATCGCCAAAATGAGCTGGATGTGTTGGCAGCAGGGTTTTGACGGTGCTGTCGAGGCATTCGGGACAACACTAGCACCAAAGGGGGGGCTGGGAAGTGTGATGATGGGGCGCCAAGGCCACGACAGGCCAGGGACGTAGCAAAAAATGCCACCTACCGATACTGGCAAAAAGGCTTTGTCTTGCAGCCCAAAGCAAGCTTCTTGAAGGGTCGCGGCACAGGACGCAATCGAAGCTGAGAAAATTTGTCGATTCCTGATGAGGCCTGGTGCTGACGGGTTGAGCGATGGGTTCTGGGAGCATGCAGCATGAACGGTTCATCCAAGTTGTTCCGGAAGAGCCCTCTTCTAGGTGCAGTTGGGGTCTGTCCTAGCGGCCTAGCGGTGACATCAGCAAGAAACACCAAACTCGTACACATCTTAGCCTTAGCCAAGCCCTGTTTTCTGCCACGTCTTGACCTCTGTAGGGTTGAAGTAATTGCCAACATGATTCCATGGGGTTCTTTCAGTGTACTTACCACGAAAGCCTGTTATGCATACTAAGGCCCCTATAAGAGCCTGTATTGCAGCCCGTCGCACAGACTCCCAAACCCCTTAGACTAAGAAATGTACCTTGAATTATGCTAGGGATCCCGCTGCAAGAAAGGTAGTCCTTAATTTAGGGGTTGGAGTCTCTGGGCTAACACCCAATCCCTGAGCAGCCCAGTCGAATGCGCGTGCCGGCAACAAAGAGGGATGACTGGGGCCAAAGCCCTCTGTTGCTCGGCTGTGTGGCATCAGTGTTCAGATTTCCGATAATTTTGACCATGATGGGACATGGTGACTATAACCCGAATCGGGGCGTTGTAGTCTTACTCACTATGCCGATGTCTCCTGATCCCAAACGGACAGACTGGGGTCGGGGCTTCTTTACCAGTCGTGCGATGTGCTGGGCTCTTTTCAGACGTCTTACAGTGGTTCGGAGGCCCCTGTCGCTTCAGGTAAGATCGTTCATGCGGCGCTCTCAAACTCCCAGCCTTCAACCCTCAGAGCTGTTAGCTCCAGAATCCTACAAGACACCGAATGGGGGTTTCCGAACATAGGCCATAGGGGACCCTAATATAGTACCGACCCGTACATGTTTGTCACACAGGACCCTAAACCCTCAACACTAGGACCCTAAACCGTGGGACCTTTGTAAATCCTTCTTGACATGGTTCTCAAAAAGTTTGCAACTTATAAACTAGGATGCCCAGTAGTACCCTTATTCCTTCTTGTAGTCCTAGGTTCCTTATAAAGTTACCCAATACCAAAAAGGGGGCCCTCTTTATTCCTAGGTTACTGGGCATCCTAGTTAAAGTGTCTATTTGACTGTTTGGCTTCTTGCTTGGCATCTTCTGTACAAGCTTTGTCATGGCGTTCCTTCTTTTGTCAATAGCTGGTAATTCGCCTTGTCTCAGCTTGTCTTCGTGTTGTCCAAGTTTGTCTTAACTTGTCGTCTTAATTGAGGCTTGACCTCCCCCAGTTCGAGGACTTTAAAGGGTTTAGGGTATAGGGTTTAGGGTTTAGTGTTTGGAAGGGAGGTGCAACAGGAAGGATTCGCTTTGTTCCCGAAACAACGGCCTAGAGGGAGCCTAACCTCAAAACTTCGGCCGCTAACAGTCGTAACAATGATAACGCATGACAGAAGCAAGAGTTGCAATCACTATAGCAATAGTAGTGATCGTGATAAGGGCTCTAACGGCATTATTATCTATCAGCAAGCGCAAAAAGCAAATGCACCAACCAGGGCACTGTGCTAATCCATGAAGTTCTGCTCGGCATGATCTTGCCGCTCAGGTTCTTCGCAGCTAGACAAGGACACATGGCGCGACTGGGATGAGCCTTTAGGGTAGAGTGTGGAATGGGCTGCAATCTCGGAATACGGCTTCGAGATATTTGGAGATTTTGTCGGTGTTATGAGCGGAGACTTCCTTGACCCTAAATGTTTGCGCATGCTGAAGGTGTGGACCTGCGTACTTTGAATCATGAAGCGTAGCTGAGGCTTTGTGCGTACTTCGTTGAGAAGTTGGGCATGAATGTCCATCAAGTGGACAGGTGGGGGGAAACCCCCATGTTTTATGCGATGGAAGCCAAGAAGACCGAGACGGTCACTTGGTGGCTCTTAATGCGCCGAGTGGTCCACTTCTTGATGAGCCGTTTAGGCTTGAACCCCGAACCCGAAACCTCAAACTCCCACATACCCTAAGCCCTAAACATCTCAATACAGTCTCAAGCCCCGAAACCCCAAACTGCCAACATCCAGGTCATATACCTGCTGAAGAAGGGTGCGTCGCTCGGGGTGAACAACCACAACTTCGAGTCGCCAGAGAGCCTTGCACCGGTGGAGGTGGCTCGCGAGCTGCAGGCAAGAAAAGGGGTCGGAAGTTCAGGGGCTGGGGGTTTATGGTTTAGGAGTCGGAAGAGTTAGTAAGGGTAGTCCTTATAGTATGTACCTCGAAACCCCATTCTGCTCATTAGGGCTCGAACTTAAGCCACACCCCAAACCCAAACCCGAAACCTCAAGCCCTAAACCCCAAACCCCAAACTCCATTCCAGTCACTCAGGCCCCTCTTTCAGGTCCGGATGAAATAAAAATACTAGTAATAGAAATAATAGTACTGGTCATAATAACAAAAGTAGTACGAACAGTAACTATAGCAGTAACAGTAAGAATTAGAATAGTGGTAAGAACAAACAGAACAATAATAATCAGAAGAAAACAAGATTGCTAGTACTAACAACCGTAGTAATCGTAATAAGAATAATTCTAGTAGTAGTAGTAGTAGTAGTAGTAGTAGTAGTAGTAGTAGTAGTAGTAGTAGTAGTAGTAGTAGTAGTAGCAGCAGCAGCAGCAGCAGCAGCAGTACTACTGCTGCTGCTGCTACCACTACTACTACTAGGAAGAAGAATAACATTAGTAATAACAGTTATAATAACAATAAGAATACCAATAATAGTCCACTTGAAGCGAGGTCCGGATGAAGGAGTGGGCCGAGCCCTCAAAGGCTCCGGAGCGGTCGGGAGACACAAAGAAGAGAAACTGGGCTCTTGTTGGAGGCTTGATTGGAGGGTTTAGGGCTTAGGGTTTCCTTTGAGGCTCCCTTGAAGGGTTGCTGTAAGGGTTACTCTCGGGTTTGGGGTCTGCGGTTAAGGAACTTATTTTAAGTTGCCATGCTAGGGATCTAGAATGAACAACGTCGTCTTCTTATTCTGGCAATTGAAATTAATTCCCTAACCCTAACAAGAACCCAGGAAAGAGGCCGGATGAGGAGGAGGTTGAGGAGCAAGGATCAGCCGCAGAGGGACCCCGTGCGCTGCAGGAATGGGCGGCAAAGCCCGCGAAGTTGCCGCGGAACTGGAAGACCCAGTTGGCTCGGGAGAAGCTCAAAGGAGAGCCAAAAGTCATCGCTGACACGTTTACACACAAGGCTGGGTTCTTGTTAGGGATTTCAGTTCAGGGTTTAGGACCCTGCTACGGAAAACCGTATTTGCTATCGATCCGTGTATAATGGACACTTGAAGTAACCCTCTTAGCAATAACCCTCTTAGCAAGAGCCCAGAAGGTGACACTGGTGACCAGCGACGCCCTGGAGGAGGTCCGCCTGCTGGAAAAGACGCTCGTGGCGGACCAGGCTGTCCTGTTCAAGAAGAAGCTGTTCGTCCGGGCGTGCAGGGCGGCCGACTTCTGCTTAGCACTGGGAGCCTATGAGAAGGATGGCCAGTTTTTTGCTGAATACTCTCACATTGTCGCGAATCGCGGCAAAGTTGGCTCTCTCGTGCTGGCGGCTTGGCTAATCCCTAACCCTAAACCCTGGACCGTACACGCGCCAAACCTTGAGGTGGCTCGGGACAAAATGACCGGGCGCATCGTAGGCTTCGTCCATGCGGAAAAGGGCAAAAAAGAGCTGCTGATTGGCCATCTCAAGGCGACGTGTTTCAGACTTTGGGCTTCGGGCCCGGGTATCAGGGCTTGGGGTTTCGGGTTTCAGGTTTCGGGGTTTGGCTTTCGGATTAGAATAATGATCCTACGAAGGGTTCCATAAGAGAGTTTAAAGTTAGGGTCTGGGGCTTATAGGGTTTTGGGCTCCGGATTTAGGGTTTATGGCCTTAGGGGTTCAGGGTTTGACGCTTATGGCTCGGGCTCCCGGGCTCAGGGCTTCGGGTTTGCGGCTTAGGGCTCAAGGGCGAGGGTTTAAGAACGACCACGTGAGCGCTGTTCGGAAGCAATCAGCCACTCGCATTGTTCCTGACGGTTCCTTACTCGAAGTATAGTTTAGCGAGTGCCCAAGTTCAGGGTTCTTGAGGGTTCCTGTTTAGTTGCAAGTACAACATAGTTTACAGCCAAAGCATGATTTATGAGGCCCCCTATACAGGAACCCTAAGGGGAGTAACTATGACTCTCTTAAGGGAGCCCATTTAGCTGCCGCCGGCGCCCGGCGAGGTGCACAATGACCATCAGGGCAAAGGCGTAGGAACGCTGTTGATCCGCGCTGCCGAGGCTCAGGCCGGGGCAGATTACTATTTTTAATTTCGATGATGACTGTGATTATTATTATGATTATTCGTATCGCTAATATTAGTGTTATAATTAGCGTAGTTGTGGTTGTAGTTGTAGTCGTAGCAAGTAGTAAGTAGTAGTAAGCATCGGTGCCAGTGTCAGTATCAGTATCAATAGTAGCAGCCGCATTCCTGGTTGTCGCTGTCATCATCTTGAGCATTGTGATGTGGGTTTGTAATCATCATCATCCTCCTGGTGTTCAAGCATCCGATAAGCCTTTGCGAAGCAATCTTCTTCGTTGCTCTTGCAATTGCCACGAGGGCCAACAAGAAGTTTGCAAAACACACATGAAGCCCGGAGCAGAGCCCAGACATGAGCAGCAGTGTACATTTCGCAGGCACCTGGACCCTCTTCCAAAGCCCTCTGCTCAAAGAAAGGATCACATGGGGCGTAGTAACAGGCTTATAATGCCTGGGGGACTCAACTTTGCTTCCGAGGGCCAGGGAGACTCCACGTCGGACATGTTATTATGATCTTGAAGCCCTGCCTGCCCGTGGAGGCGTTGACCGCAGGATGGACTTTCGACTCCGTGGCAGTACGTGTCCTATACGTGAACTCGCCAGCGCAGCAGAAATTTTTCCGATGCTTGGGCCGCCACGACTTTAGGGTTTAGCTTTAGGGTTTCGGGCTTAGCGCTTAGCTTTTAAGGCTCAGTTCTTAGGGTTTATTAGGGTTTAGTTATTAGGTTTTACGGTTTAGGGCTTACTTTTAAAGGTTTAGGGCTGATCAGGAGAACAAGGGAAAACTGCGTTCGGATCCTGTCGTCGCTCTCTGGTTCTCTCTGTCTATCTCTCTATCTCTCCATCTCTCCATCTCTCTCCATCTCTCCGTCTCTCCATCTCTCTCTATTTCTCCATCTCTCTATGTCTCCATCTCTCCATCTCTTTTTTTATGTCTCTCTCTCTCTCTCTCTCTCGCTCTCTCTCTCTCTCTATCTCTCTGTCTCTCTATCTCTCTATCTCTCTACTTCTCTACCTCTCTCTCTCTGTCTGTTTGTCTCTCTCTCTCTCTCTCTCAAGTTATACCGGTTGTGCTTTCTGCGCTCTTCTGCAGCTTGTTGCTGGGCTTGTCCTGGCCGTGCTTTCCTTGGCAGCTTGTGGAGCCGAGGAATGGGTTTCGACATCCACGACGAGCCGGCACCCGAGACGACAATGAGCATGCTCTCGATGTACCTTCGCCAGCACCATTGCAGTTCCGACCCTAATGTAGCAACCTGATTAAGGAACCCTGGGCCTCTAGCCCCAAGGTCGCAGGATTCATAGAGGGAGTCTTTTTCAGGGCACGAGGTTTCTTAATCAGGTTCCTACATTAGCTAATGTAAAGGGGCCTTAATAATTAGAATAAGGCGTCTTTAAAGGGGTCTAGAAGGATTACTATACAATAAAAGCCAGAAAGTTGGAATATGATTATCCTAAACCCTTTATGGGAAATTATAGGGTATCCTACCCTGAAACCATATTCCAACTTTCTGGAGTTCCCTTTAAAGGGGTCCAGAAGGATTACTTTAAAGGGCTTGTAGCCTAACCCTAAACCCTGACGGGCTCTGCGGTCGCTCCGAAGGCCGCCACGATCCCATATGCAAGCTCTCTGAGTCACAAGCATGGGGGTTTGGGGTATATCAGAATCTTAATACATAGGGGGTTTGGAGTATATTAGAATCTTAGTACATAATTGTTTTGGGGTATATTTTAATCTTAGTACATAGGGGTTTGGGGTTCATTACGGTATGCAGGTGCGTGAAGATGGTCCGCCGTGCTCAGCATGCCCCTGAAGCGCCAAAGGAGAAGATCAAGATCGAGCCATATGCTCCTCGGTTTTAGCAGATATTGGATGTGGTGAGCAGGTTCCCTCTTCAGCTCGTTCAGGATTTAGGGTTTAGGGCCCTGGAAACTCCATGACCTTGCAGCACGAGGTGCAAACGGCTTTGGCGCCGTGGCACTACAAGGGGCTGCGCGTGAGAAAAACGATCCGGTGCTGCCGCATGGTGGAGCCTCCTAAACGGGATGATGACTCCGCGACGGATCCGGAGATGCCTGAGTTGATCCCGGTCACGCCGAATTGGTTGTACTCACCGCGGGCTCCCAAGCTGTTTCTTTGCTGGCAGTGCTCTTGCTGTACTAAGATACTGTGCTCCAAGGTCTCCTGAAGAATTTGTCCAGGTTCAGGGCATCGACTTTTGAATCTTGTGCCGGCTTGGATGTTTCAAGTTCAAGCTTCACTGACCTTGCCGAAAAGATGGGACAGCGCCGCAAGTTCGGACTATTGCTAATTGCGCTGGATCAGGTCAGGCAGTTTCAACATTCTTTCAGCCTTCGTCACAAGTGTCTCACCTCTTGGTGAGCAAGAGCAGAACACGACTTCGTACCATCTGGTACCAAACCCTATGAACCCTAACCCCCCCGCACAATAAGCACCAGCAGTACGGAGGGGTTATTGAAGCTGCCCACAGCTCCGGCGCGTGCTTTCGAAGCCTTGGCCTGTTACTATTCCCTAAGGCTCCATGTACCCATGTAGTATATACTTAGGCCTTACAGTACCCATATCGGGACCCCCTTTTAAGGCTTAAGTATTTACTATAAAGGCACATGGAGCCTTTGGGATTACTATCTATTACTAGCACTAGTACTATTGCTGTCTCTATTGCTGCTAGTCTTAGCATGAGTATTACTTTTACTGCTTGTTAATTATTAAGTACCATTACGATTACTATTACTGTTACTCTTTGTCTTCTTATTGTCCTTCTTATTACTATTGCTATTCTGAGTATTCCTAGTAATGTGACTATTAGTGCAAGTGTTTGTTGCTGTTTGGAGGATCCTACTTAAAGGTTCATGGGACTTAGTAACTATGGTTATAAATAAATTAACTATAATACTTTTAATTGGATATAACCCCAGTTAGGGTACTTATAACTGTACTTACTAAGTCCCATGAACCCCCAAGTAGACCCTAAACCCTAAACCCTATAGATCCCTTTTAAGGAACCCTATAGATCCCTTTAAGGAGCCCTTTCAGAGATACCCCTCTGTGCTCGACGAATCGTCGAGAGCCGGAAATGCAGTCCTGCTACCTCTGTCTGCATTTTCCGTGTCCATAGCCGCTGAAGGCAGCTCAAGCAAGCCAGAACCGTTTGGTCGCATGCTTAAGTGCATTGCAATACACAGCCGGAGAAGCAGCAGCTTCCGTTTCTGTTGTTCAGATTGGTGCGAAGAGTGTACTTCTCCCTCCGAACTTTTTTCTAATCACTGACTCCCTGAAACGTCGTCATGGCGACCCGGAAGACGAAGAAGGCACCTGCTGCCTGGCTCGTGGCGGCAAGGAAGGCTGGCACAAATCTCCAGGATCCGATTCCCTGCTGGGATTTACCTCGTCTTTCAGGGTTTAGGGTTCAGGGGTTTAGGAGTGTGGAGGTTTAAAAACAACTATCCTGCTCTAAATCCTAGGGCCTCTATGTTAGAGGTTTGTGTGCGAAAACCGGGCAGACTTGCAAAGTAGCCGGGGCTACAGTCACGAGTTTAGATCCTTGAAGCCTACGATTTAGGAGGCTTGAGGGTTTAGGGGACTGTCAGGACGTCCGGCTGCTCCTCAAGATCCGTGATGGAATACAGGAGCTGGGAAGTGCGGCGCTAGGGATTCGCAACGTCTTTTGCGACGCTGAGCAATTGAACCGTTTTAACTTGCAGTGCAAGTCTTGAATCCGTACTTGAGTTCGGGTCTCATGCAGACACCTTCTGTTTAGGCTCATCAACGACATGAACAACAACAAACCACTTCAGGTCTTTGGTCTAAGCCACAGACGCACAACTCTTGAAACAGGAACAGTTCTTAGGCACTCTCGGGAATAATTAGCCTCCCTGGCGCTAGCCGTGCAAATACTGGCAACGATGAATTATGTTTACTCTGATGAGTTGCAGCCTACGGCCGAAATCACCGGCCGTGCTTAAGCTGCAATACATACGAACAGCGGTTCCTGAGCCTTTATCACATCACATCAGTAAATGTTAAGACAACACTACAGGTCCTAGCCTCCACACAAAAGAGAACAGAACCACCGTGACAGTGCGAAAACCATCAGCACAAAATTTTAGAAATGCGAGTATATAGTTTTACCAACGTGGACCTGAAAACATATGCTTTCTAACTCTATTGCCAGGCCCGTCAGGGCTATTCAGAATATGCGCCGCAACCACACCACCATGCACGCTATCATCGACGTCGCACCACAACCGCCACCACGCAGCCCCCACCCTCCCTCCACCCGCCCCACCAGCACGAGTACCAACATTAACACCAGTGCGAACACCAACATCAAAGCCAACACGAACACGACACCACCAGCCGGCGGCGGCAACATCAACACCAACACCGACATCGGATATCAACATCAAGTCAGCATCATCCTCACGGTCGTCCCCACTGTAATAACCAACACCATCGCCATCATCATCATCATCATCTTCATCAGCATCATCATCGAGGTCATCATCATCACCAATACCATTAGCATCAGCATCTCCATCATCATCTATTTAATCTACATCATCATCATCATCACCACCAAGAGCAGCATCATCACCGCCACCATCTTCATCACCAGCAACACACACAACAACACCCTTCTTCTTTTACTATCATCACGGTCACCACCGCCGTCGTGATGTTCAACATCATGCTCATTGATATTCCCATCGTGATGATGATGATGATGATGATCATCATCATTTTCATCATCAGTGACATCTTCTTCTTCATCATCTTCATCATCACGTTCTGATTCGACATCCTGTTTCTCATCATCATTTCCAGCTTGGTCTTGTTTGTCACTATGTGCACTGCTTACATCACCCTGCAAAGGGCGATCGTTTTCTTTACCACTTTTTATATAGACTCGCATCACTTCATTTTCCTTCTTTTCGGTCGTCTGCAGAGTGGATCGCGGTGCCGCGAGGAGGAAGCCTGGGTCGCCGCCGCGCAGGTCGACCCAAAGTGGAAGTCGCGCCTTGGTCTTGTAGCAAGGCCTAGGATGCATTCGGTTATGACGTGCCATCGGTGCCCCTTCTGGAAACGCTCCTTCATTATGTTCTAGCTGTTACTTGCACACTCTTCGTGCTGTAAGGCGCGGGCAGACGGCGCTGTACTTTGCCGCTGCACGGCAGGCGGGCTTTGATGTGATGGCGGCGGCGGGATGGTTTTGGAAGGTTGAGCAAGAAGTTCAGCAGAATCATCGGCTAGTAGTCGCGATTGCCGGGATCATCACGGATGTTTCAGGCCTTGGCAACGTGAACTGGACCACCTGGGCCCCAACCTTTTTGACCAGTGGTTACTGTCGGATTTGGATGCAGGTACCATCGCCACAATGAGCTGGATGTGTTAGCAGGGTTTTGACGGTGCCGTAGAGGCATTCGGGACAACACTAGCGCCAAAGGGTGGGGCTGGGAAGTGTGATGATGGGGTGTCAAGGCTATGACAAGCTGGGGACATAGCAAAAACACACCACCTACCGATGCTGCCAAAGAGGTCTTGTCTTGCAGCCCAAAGCAAGCTTCTTGAAGGGTCCCTGCACAGGATCCAATCGACGCTGAGAAAATTTGTCGATTCCTGATGAGGCCTGGTGCTGACGGGTTGAACGATGGGGTCCGGGAGCATGCTGCATCAACGGTTCATCCGAGTTGTTCCGGAAGAGCCCTCTTCTAGGTGCAGTTGGGGTCTGTCCTAGCGGTTACATCAGCCCGAACTCGTACACATCTTAGTCTTGGCCTTAGCCGAGCCCTGTTTTCTGCCACGTCTTGACCTCTGTAGGGCTGAAGTAATTGCCAACATGATTCCTTGGTGTTCTTTCAGTATACCCATACTACAATGTACGTACCACGAAAGCCTGGTATGCATAGTAAGGCCCCTATAAGAGCCTGTATTGGAGCCCGTCGCACAGACTCCCAAACCCCTTAGATTAAGAAATATACCTTGAATTATGCTAGGGATCTCCCTGCAATAAAGGTAGTCCTTAATTTAGGGGTTGGAGTCTCTGGGCTAACACCCAATATCTGAGCAGCCCAGTCGAATGCGCGTGCCGGCAACAAAGAGGGATGACTGGGGCCAAAGCCCTTTGTTGCTCGGCTGTGTGGCAGTTGGGTTCAGGTTTCCTATGGTTGAAGCCATCATGGGACTTAGTCACTGTAACCCCAAGTAAGGTGTTCATGTTCATACTTTCTATGCCGATGTCTCGTGGTCCCAAAAGGACAGACTGGGTCGGGGGCTTCTACGAGTCGTGTGCTACACTGATCTTCCCTGAGGTTGTTGTCGTATTGTACAGTGGTTCGAGGCCCTTGATTTTAGTGGTCGCTTTCGGCTAGGATCGTCAATGCCCTGCGGTCCTCTCACACCTCGGCCCTTAAACCCTTTGGGCTTTCAGCTCCAAAATCCTACAAAGCACCAAATTATTGAAGCTTATCTAGCCACCTTTTTATCAAATCAAGCTTTGTCCTCAGTTATCTTGATTTCTCTTTCTTTGTCTCCATGTGTCTTCCTTCTTCATTTTTGGCGTTCGTGGTCCTCTCTGCCTTTATGACTTGTCCTTACTAGCTCTTTTATCCCATTGTTGCTCGCATGCGACTTCGTGATCTTGCCTCAGAGCCCCAATCGGCCTTACCCTACTCCCAGTCCTCACCGGCCTCAGCCCCGCCGCACAGTCCGAAGCCCCACAACATAAAACCCAATCCGAGGGTAACTAGGGGCCCCAGAACTACGGGCCTTGAAAACGTAGCAGGGCTTTAAGCCACGCATGTCTGGCAAACAGGGCCAATAAGATCCTTATCACATCTTACTGATGCATCTTGTTGAATCTGATGAATCCTTGTTTGAAGTCTTGGAAAAGCTATTGTGAGCCTCATGAATCCTTATGGAAGGCCTTTCAAAACTCAAACAATCGCCGCGCTTCCGCAGGGCTCCACGCTGCACCCCGGATCGAGGGCTTACCTCCCTCGCACCCCCAACAGGACTCCAGGGGGGCAGACTGCGCCCCCTCACCGAAAACTGTGAACGCCTTGCCAATCTTTGGAATTCTTTCGCAGTCTTTTTGGATGTTTAAGGCCTCGTAGAGTTGATTTGAACGCTCTCCATGCTTGCAAAGCCACATTAATGTTGTTTGAAAGTCGTTTCATGTTTAAGTGTTTGTTTTCTGTTTGAGTGTCTTTTGTCTGGCATCTTTTGTGCAAGCGTTTCTTCACTTTCCTTGTTTTGTCATTTGTTGTCTCTATTATCATTTGGAATCATTTGTTTGCTTAAGTTTTCAAGCCCCGAGGCTCGAGGTATAAAGGCCCGAGGTTTGAGAGCCTTGCAAAGCCCCAGTGACAGGGAATGTGCATCAGGACCAAAACATCCCGCTAGAGACTTCCTCACCCAAAACTGCCAGCCTCTGCACCAGACGGCTGCCATGGCAGCAGGCAACAGAAGCGACAGTTGCACTGCCATTGCAATAGTCGTGATCATCATCATAGGGACCGTAAAAGCACTACCAGCAAGAGCAAGACTAACAATAACACCAGCGAGGGCAATGGTCTAGTCCGTAAAGTTCGGTTCGACGTGAACTTGCCGATCAGGTTCTACGCAGCTAGACAAGGACACAAAGAGCGACTGGGATGCGTCTTTGGGGTAGAGTATGGAATGGGCTTCGCACGGCTTCAAGGCATTTTTGGAGATATTGTCGGGATTCTGAGCCGGAACTTGCCTTCATCCTGAAAGTTTGCGCGCGCAGAAGGTTTGGATCCGTGTACTTCAAGTCATGAAGTGTAGCTGAGGCTGTGTGCATACTTCGTCGAGAAGTTGGGCATGAGCGTCCATCAAGCAGACAAGTGGGGCGAGACCCCCATGTTTTACGCGATGGAAGCGAAAAAGACCGAGACGGTCACTGGGTGGCATTTTCTGAAACCCTTTGATGCCCCTTGTGGTTCTATAGACTTACTTATTGGTATGTCAGTTTGCCTTGAACCGAAAATCCTAAGTTCCCCAAATCCAGGTCATATACCTCCTCAAGCAGGGCGCGTCGCTCGGCGTCAACAACAAGGGCTTCCAGTCGCCAGAAAGCCTCGCACCGGTTGAGGTGGCTCGCGAGCTGCAGGCGAGAAAAGGGGTCGGAAGAGGTAGTAAGGGGCCTATAGGGTTTAGGGTTTAGGGAGGTTATAGTCCCCGCTGGTACTACAATGCCCCCTTCATAGTCCCTCTTTTGTTGCTGATAATGCCCGCTCGTAGTCCTTGTACAAAAGCCACATTGTATTTCTCAAGGCTTTAGTGCACCCCAAACCCAAAACCCAACCCCAAGCCCCACACTCCAACCCAAGCCCTGCACCCCAAACCCTGACCCTTAAACCCAGCCCTAAACCCCAAACCCTGCACCCCCAAAGCCCTTTTCTGCTTGTTAAGGCCCTTGTTCAGGCCCGGATGAAGGAGTGGGCCGAGCCATTGAAGGCCTCGTCTCGGCAGCCGCAGCCGGCAGACTCAAAGAAGCGACGCTGGGCTCTTGTTAAAGGGCTTCCTTTCAAGGTTCTTTTATAGGGCCTATTGGCAGGGTTCCGGGTTAAGGAATTTTGTTTGAGCCGTTGTGATAGGGATCTACAGTATCAGTAAATCATATGGTCTCCTTATCGTGGCATTTTTTATTTCAGTCCCTATCCAGAACCCAGGCAAGAGACCGGATGAGGAGCAGGAGGAGGAGGAGGAGGCTCAGGAGCAAACATCAGCTGCGGAAGGACCTCGAGCACTTCAGGAATGGGCAGCAAGACCTGCGAAGTTGCCGAGGAATTGGAAGACGCAGTTGGCACGGGAGAAGCTGCAAGGCAAGCCGGAAGTCATCGCCGAAAGCTTCACTCACAAGGCTGGGTTCTTGTTGGGGAGTTTAGTTTAAGTTGCCGTCCATACTACTAGGGAAAGCCATATTCGCTATCCTTCCCTGTATTATGGCCACGTAAAGTAAACTCCGCCAGAAGGTCACGCTCGTGACCACCGACGCCCTGGAAGAGGTCCGGGGCCTCGAGAAGACACTCGTGGCCGACCAGGCCGGCCTCTTCAAGAGGAAGCTGTTCGTCCGGTCGTGCAGGGCGGCCGACTTCTGCTTAGCACTGGGCGCGTACGAGAAAGATGGACAATTTTTCGCAGAGTATTCGCACATCGTCGCCAACCGTGGAAAGGAAGGCTCACTCGTGCTGGTGGCTTGGCTGATCCCTCAAGTGTAGGGTTTAGGGCCTAAACCCTAAACCCTGGACCGTACACACGCCAAACCTTGAGGTGGCTCGGGACAAAACGACCGGGCGCACCGTAGGCTTCGTCCATGCCGAAAAGGGCAGAAAAGAGCTGCTGATTGGCCACCTCAAGGCGACGTGTTTCAGACTTTGGGCTTCGGGCCCGGGTATCAGGGCTTGGGGTTTCGGGTTTCAGGTTTCGGGGTTTGGCTTTCGGATTAGAATAATGATCCTACGAAGGGTTCCAGAAGAAAGTTTAAAGTTAGGGTCTGGGGCTTATAGGGTTTTGGGCTCCGGATTTAGGGTTTATGGCTTTAGGGGTTCAGGGTTTGACGCTTATGGCTCGGGGTCCCGGGCTCAGGGCTTCGGGTTTGCGGCTTAGGGCTCAAGGTTTAAGAACGACCACGTGAGCGCTGTTCGGAAGCAATCAGCCACTCGCATTGTTCCTGACGGTTCCTTACTCGAAGTCTAGTTTAGCGAGTGCCCAAGTTCAGGGTTCTTGAGGGTTCCTTTTCAATTGCAAGTACAACATAGTTTACAGCCAAAGCATGATTTATGAGGCCCCCTATACAGGAACCCTAAGGGGAGTAACTATGACTCTCTTAAGGGAGCCCATTTAGCTGCCGCCGGCGCCCGGCGAGGTGCACAATGACCATCAGGGCAAAGGCGTAGGAACGCTGTTGATCCGCGCTGCCGAGGCTCAGGCCGGGGCAGATTACTATTTTTAATTTCGATGATGACTGTGATTATTATTATGATTATTCGTATCGCTAATATTAGTGTTATAATTAGCGTAGTTGTGGTTGTAGTTGTAGTCGTAGCAAGTAGCAAGTAGTAGTAAGCATCGGTGCCAGTGTCAGTATCAGTATCAATAGTAGCAGCCGCATTACCGGTTGTCGCTGTCATCATGTTGAGCATTTTGATTTGGGTGTAGTCGTAGCAAGTAGTAAGTAGTAGCACGCATCGCTGCCAGTGTCAGTATCAGTATCAATAGTAGCAGCCGCATTCCTGGTTGTCGCTGTCATCATCTTGAGCATTGTGATGTGGGTTTGTAATCATCATCCTCCTGGTGTTCAAGCATCCGATGATCCTTTGCGAAGCAATCTTTTTCGTGGCTCTTGCAATTGCCACGAGGGCCAACAAGAAGTTTACAAAACACACATGAAGCCCGGAGCCTTGTGCTCAGACCCAAGAGCCCAGACATGAGCAGCAGTGTACATTTCGCAAGCGTCAGGCACCTGGACCCTCTTCCAAAGCCCTCTGCTCAAAGAAAGGATCACATGGGGCGTAGTAACAGGCTTATAATGCCTGGGGGACTCAACTTTGCTTCCGAGGGCCAGGGAGACTCCACGTCGGACATGTTATGATCTTGAAGCCCTGCCTGCCCGTGGAGGCGTTGACCGCAGGATGGGCTTTCGACTCCGTGGCGGTACGTGTCCTATACGTGAACTCGCCAGCGCAGCATAAATTTTTCCGATGCTTGGGCCGCCACGACTTTAGGGTTTAGCTTTAGGGTTCGGGCTTAGCGATTAGCTTTAAGGCTCAGTTCTTAGGGTTTATTAGGGTTTAGTTATTAGGTTTTACGGTTTAGGGCTTACGTTTAAGGGTCGAGGGCTGATCAGGAGAACAAGGGAAAACTGCGTTCGGATCCTGTCGTCGCTCTCTGGTTCTCTCTGTCTATCTCTCTATCTCTCTATCTCTCCATCTCTCCATCTCTCCATCTCTCCATCTCTCTCCATCTCTCCGTCTTTCCATCTCTCTCTATCTCTCTATCTCTCTATGTCTCCATCTCTCCATCTCTTTGTTTATGTCTCTCTCTCTCTCTCTCTCGCTCTCTCTCTCTCTCTCTCTCTCTCTCTCTATCTCTCTATCTCTCTATCTCTCTACTTCTCTCTCTCTCTCTCTGTCTCTCTCTCTCTCTCTCAAGTTATACTGTACCGGTTGTGCTTTCTGCGCTCTTCTGCAGCTTATTGCTGGGCTTGTCCTGGCCGTGCTTTCCTTGGCAGCTTGCGGGGCCGAGGAATGGGTTTCGACATCTTCGACGAGCCGGCACCCGAGACGACAATGAGCATGCTCTCGATGTACCTTCGCCAGCACCATTACAGTTCTGACCCTAATGTAGGAACCTGATTAAGGAACCCTGGGCCTCTAGCCCCGAGGTCGCAGGATTCATAGAAGGAGCCTTATTCAGGGCACGAGGTTTCTTAATCAGGTTCCTACATTAGCTAATGTAAAGGGGCCTTAATAACTAGAATGGGGCGTCTTTAAAGGGGTCTAGAAGGATTACTATAAAGTAAAAGCCAGAAAGTTGGAATATGATTATCCTAAAGCCCTTTATGGTAAATTATAGGGTATCCTACCCTGAAACCATATTCCAACTTTCTGGAGTTCCCTATAAAGGGCTTGTAGCCTAACCCTAAACCCTGACGGGCTCTGCGTTCCCTCCGAAGGCCGCCACGATCCCATATGCAAGCTCTCTGAGTCACAAGCATGGGGGTTTGGGGTATATCAGAATCTTAGTACATAGGGGGTTTGGGGTATATTAGAATCTTAGTACATAATTGTTTTGGGGTATATTTTAATCTTAGTACATAGGGGTTTGGGGTTCATTACGGTATGCAGGTGCGTGAAGATGGTCCGCCGTGCTCAGCATGCCCCTGAAGCGCCAAAGGAGAAGATCAAGATCGAGCCATATGCTCCTCGGTTTTAGCAGATATTGGATGTGGTGAGCAGGCTCCCTCTTCAGCTCGTTCAGGATTTAGGGTTTAGGGCCCTGGAAACTCCATGACCTTGCAGCACGAGGTGCAAACGGCTTTGGCGCCGTGGCACTACAAGGGGCTGCGCGTGAGAAAAACGATCCGGTGCTGCCGCATGGTGGAGCCTCCTAAACGGGACGATGACTCTGCGACGGATCCGGAGATGCCTGAGTTGATCCCGGTCACGCCGAATTGGTTGTACTCACCGCGGGCTCCCAAGCTGTTTCTTTGCTGGCAGTGCTCTTGCTGTACTAAGATACTGTGCTCCAAGGTCTCCTGAAGAATTTGTTGAGGTGCAGGGCATCGACTTTTGAATTGTCTGCCGACTTGGATGTTTCAATTTCAAGTTTCACTGACCTTGCCGAAAAGATGGGACAGCGCCGCAAGTTCGGACTATTGCTAATTGCGCTGGATCAGGTCAGGCAGTTTCAACATTCTTTCAGCCTTCGTCACAAGTGTGTCACCTCTTGGTGAGCAAGAGCAGAACACGACTTCGTACCATCTGGTACCAAACCCTATGAACCCTAACCCCCCCACACAATAAGCACCAGCAGTACGGAGGGGTGAATGAAGCTGCCCACAGCTCCGGCGCGTGCTTTCGAAGCCTTGCCCTGTTACTATTCCCTAAGGCTCCATGTGCCCATGTAGTATATACTTAGGCCTTACAGTACCCATATCGGGACCCCCTTTTAAGGCTTAAGTATTCATTATAAAGGCACATGGAGCCTTTGGGATTACTATCTATTACTAGCACTAGTACTATTGCTGTCTCTATTGCTACTAGTCTTAGCATGAGTATTACTTTTACTGATTGTTAATTATTAAGTACCATTACGATTACTATTACTGTTACTCTTTGTCTTCTTATTGTCCTTCTTATTACTATTGCTATTCTGAGTATTCCTAGTAATGTGACTATTAGTGCAAGTATTTGTTGCTGTTTGGAGGATCCTACTTAAAGGTTCATGGGACTTAGTAACTATGGTTATAAATAAATTAACTATACTTTTAATTGGATACAACCCCAGTTAGGGTACTTATAACTGTACTTACTAAGTCCCATGAACCCCCAAGTAGACCCTAAACCCTAAACCCTATAGATCCCTTTTAAGGAACCCTATAGATCCCTTTAAGGAGCCCTTTCAGAGGTACATACCCCTCTGTGCTCGATGAATCGTCGAGAGCCGGAAATGCAGTCCTGCTGCCTCTGTCTGCATTTTCCGTGTCCATAGCCGCTGAAGGCAGCTCAAGCAAGCCAGAACCGTTTGGTCGCATGCTTAAGGGCATTGCAATACACAGCCGGAGAAGCAGCAGCTTCCGTTCCTGTTGTTCAGATTGGTGCGAAGAGTGTACTTCTCCCTCCGAACTTTTTTCTAATCACTGACTCCCTGAAACGTCGTCATGGCGACCCGGAAGACGAAGAAGGCACCTGCTGCCTGGCTCGTGGCGGCAAGGAAGGCTGGCACAAATCTCCAGGATCCGATTCCCTGCTGGGATTTACCTCGTCTTCAGGGTTT